CTATAAACCCAAATTTTCTAAACAGCTACTATCAATTTTTTGAATAATCTATCGTTGCATCTCTACCTGGGACACCGTTATTTGCGAACATGTACTTTTTTTATAAAAATTGGCCCTCAGTACTTTAACTCTGCTCTTTCAATGCAACGATATCATCAGTACATAAAAATCATGTTTAGCATAGGTTAGCTCCTTTCAGAAATAAGTCAACGGTATAACAAATGAATTAAATATATCAAGTCAGTCAAATAGGCCTATACAAATTCGTCCCCAGTTCCCAGCCATTCGACAAGCAACGGCCCTATGAACGATACGACCGAAAACCAAAGAGAACAGTCGCCCAGGCCCAGTCGCCGGCCAGTAACATAGGAAGTAAAAGAAAAACCAAACATTTAATTTACCCCAAACATACAGGGTGACTTTGAAGTTGAGTCATTAATTTTCAGATAATGATTGTAGAAGGAAGATAAACCAAAATATGTGTGTAAAAATAAAAAAAAAATTTTACCTTGTTTTATAAAGTATCCTCCCGACAAGTATTTCAGTGCGGACCTGTATTTGATCGTGAGGTCCCCTGTGAAGTCTTAAGTCACCTGATTCACGAGCCCGTTGTACTACATTAACAAAGGCACGAGGGGTTGGTTGCACTCGATTGGGAAACCGATCCGCATAAACATGTGCCATTTTTTATTTCGTTTGAGCCACGCAACAGACACTATTCACACGCGACTGACACTGATTGTATGTATAACTGAACTGAATGAAATAATTGTAAAAAACTCGTTCCAAATTCTTTCGCTTTTTTGTTTCCGATGCGATGAACCGATAAGGTGGATTATATCCGTTGTTGCCAAACACAAGCACATGACATTATTATTGAGACAGGGCGGTACTCAAACTTCCAAAGGGCTATAACTTTGTTACTTTAATTTTACCAGAAAAATGGTAAAGGAAAAAACATTTCTTTTGATCAGATCTACTCACTGTTAAAATAAATGACTCAACTTCGAAGTCACCCTGTATAATTCAATATTTACATTTCTGTACAATTTTTTTATATAACAGTGTCTATTTTTGGTTAGACATACTGATCTAACGCAATGTTCTGTTCTTCAGAAAAATCATTCTGGCAACCTCGCCATTACAAAGTTTCTCCTTATTTGGATTTGATTCCAGGATACTGTGTCTATGCAATAATTGAAACAATCTCTAATAATCTCTGAACTTCCGATCGATCGATCACGTTCTGATCGAAACGATGAAAACGCAACAGTGTCGAAAATTTGTCATTACCACTTCTACCGACATAATTTGGGTCCAAATAAACATAAAACGAGGCGGTTAGTTCGACTGTTTCAATGTTTTGTGAAAGTTTTACCACCCTCCTCCAAAAACTTCCCCAAAGTAAGGAATAACGCGGAAAAAAATATTACATGAAAATAAACAGGGAGAAATGCGATTAAAAAAAATCATATTTTACTCACGCTAAGTACAAATCCGCGGTATATCGTTCACAAAGACACCAAATTGACCCCCTTTAAAATTCAATATTTTAGAAGCGAAGCTATGTAATCATCTATAGTTTTTTTAAAACCGCGGAAGACCAAAAAGTTTTGTGCACTTCACTTATAAACAAAGGGGGCCAAAAACGGAGGGTTCCGAACTAGCTTTCGGTAAACGGCTATTAGGGTTTGATCGAGTAGATTATATTGATGCTAGAAATGCAGAAAAACGTTTTGGTTTTGTCGAATAATAGATTTTCTCTTAGTTTCTAGATACAAAGGGTGGTCGAAAACGGGGGGTTCCGGACTTGCTTTGGGGTAATGGATGGTAGGATGTGATAAAGTAGGTTATATTGATGCCAGAAATGTAAAAAACTGTTTGGTCTTCGGTGATTTTTCAAATTTGCTATGTATTAACAAAGGGGGGGGTCAAAAACGGGGGTTCCAGACTTGCTTTGAGAAAACGACTGGTAGAGAGTGATAGAGTAGGTTATATTGATGCCAGAAATGCAAAAAACCATTTGGTCTTCGGCTATTTTGACTAATAATAGATTTTTCAAATTTGCTATGATGCATAAATAAAAGTGGGAGATGCAAAAAACTTTTATGTCTTGTCGTACAATAGATTTTTTCTTAGTTTCTAGATACAAAAGGGGGGGCGAAAACGGGGGGGTTCCTGACTTGCTTTCGGCAAACGGCTGGTAAGACGTGATAGGGTAGGTTATATCGATGCCAGAAATGCAAAAAACTGTTTGGTCTCCGCTCATATTTACGAATAATAGCTTTTTCAAATTTGCTATGTATAAATAAAGGTGGGTCAAAACGGAGGGTTCCAGACTTACTTTCAGAAAACGGGTGATAGGATGTGATAGAGTAGGTTACATTGATGACAGAAATGCAAAAAAACTTTTTGGTCTTCGGCCATTTTGACAAATAATAGATTTTTCAAATTTGCTATGTATAAACAAAGAGGGGAAGAGGCCGGTAGGGTGTGATAGAATAGGTTATGTTGATGCAAGTACTACAAAAAATGTTTAGGTCTTCAGCTATTTGATGAATATAGGTTATTTTTGAAATTAAATATACAGGGTGTCCAATAAGTACCACGACAAACTTAAGGAGAAGGTATGCTTTGAACTGACCTCCCAAATAACAAAAACTTATATACTTATATATAACAGTGTCACCGTTTTTTGAGATATTGAATTTTTTCTTAAATTTTAAAAACCTTTTCATCTGAGGTCTTTAGCTCATTTTTCCTATAAAATACTTCTAGATAGTCGCTTTATCATGTATATAACCTTCTGATATTGTTTCCTCAACATTCATAAAATCATATCAGGAGCAGGTAATAATAATGTAGCGTTGTACTATTTAGCATTTCACTGATCAGTAACCGGTGCAACTTGAATTTAAATCCAATAATTACATTGTAGTGTGTGTAAGTCACTTACAAAAGCAGCTATAACTTTTTTCTATTCCACGTGTGGTGGCTTTCTGAAATCTGTATTCAATGAGCAATCTTTTTATTCAATATAATGCAGTTATAGCCCAGTACAGTTTGTTTCACCACAGATGGTCAAAGTTGAGGAAAAAATATCAGAAGGTTATAAATCCCAAAATAGTCCTTATTTGATCATGGTTCCTTAATATCTTTTAATTACATTCCATTTGTATATGACATAGCAACTATCTAGAGATATTTTACAGAAAAAATGAACAAACTATAACCTTATTTGTACATGCAGCTAAAGACCACAGATGAAAAGGTTTGTTTTTTAAAAGTTAATAGAAAATTCAATATCTCAAAAATGGTGACACTTTTATATAGGTATTTGGGAGGTCAGTCCAAAGCCTACCTTCTCATGAAGTTTGTCGTGGTACTTATTGGACACTATGTATACACAACAGGGGGCAGAAATGAGGTGTTCTGGAGTTGGTTTGGGGAAACGGCTGATATGTGATTGATTAGGTCATATTCATGTGAGAAGTGCACAAAACTTTTTGGTCTTTGGCGGTTTTGAAAATCTATAGATGATTACAAAGCTTCTAAAATATTGGATTTAAAAGGGGCGAAAATTTGGGGTAAAGCGTCAGTAAAAAATGCTTTTTCTAGACAATTAATGTGAAAACCGCATGTCTCCCAGTTTATTTTTATGTGATATCAATTTTTTTCGCGTTACTGGTCACTTTGGGGAAGTTTTTGGAGGAGAGGGTAAAACCTTTACAGCACTTAGAAAGCCATTAAAACAATCGAACTGTCTGAAAACCGCATAGATTTAGATCTATTTGGACCCAAATTATGTCGATAGAAGTGGGAATGACAAATTTTCGGTACTGCTGCCTTTTTATCGTTCATAACGTGATTGATCGGAACTTCAGCCGTATCAAACTTATCTCTTGGAATCAAACAAACCAAAATAGGACTGACACCTCAGCCAATGTCTGTGTCTGACTACTGGAATGAACGAATTTTCATTGCAGTCCAATAACTGGGCACTTCCATTTTCCCATCATTTCTTTCGAGACTGAAGGTAGTTCAAAGTAGACAGTGCAGGACCAGATTAAAGCAAAAAAACTGTTTCTTGTTCATTATTATGTAAAAGGTATGTATTTTTGATAAAAATGTCTATGTAAAAGGGATTCACTATAAGTGTGTTCAATTCCTTTTCCTGATTTGAAATTTCTATCTATTATCACAAATGTTTAAATACAGATCTGTCTAAAACTTGTCAATCAAATGCTGTCTGACAGGGACAACCAGTAGTAGCACCTTCTGTACCATTACTGGCAAAATAGCACATTTTTGTTATGTTAATAATCATATTGAGGGGACAGTCATGCGGTTATCGACCTTATCTACCATTTTTCGCCTCAGCTTACTTGATTTTGGGTCGCGCTGTTTTTTAACTGTTGCCAATTGAAGATTATTTCATGCAGATCACACAGTTGGCTTTGACTCATATTGCTAATTTGTTGCGGCCGACAGTTCAACCAATTTTCGGAGTTTCCATTTATTTCAAATAATTCGCTAAAATGGCTAAAAATATATTCGCATTTTTAAATTTTGTGTTCAAGTTTTGATGCTCCTGAAGTTCAATAGTGTCAGTTTTTTTGACGTGATATACTTGTGACACCAAACAAAAAAACGTCCGCATTTTACGAATTTTTTCGCGATTGTTGGCGTGGTAAACACAAAAGTCAATAAACGAGGTCATAAATACCTCAAAAATTGCAAAATGTTTTTGAAAAAGATCAAAAACGTAATTCAGGGACATTCTGGTTGTAGTTTAGATAGCAAGCTTTGGGCCTACAATCTCTCCTGCTCATTAAACAGGAACTTGAAGGACCATATTCAGAGTCACTGATTATTTATTTTGGTTTATCACTTATGTTCTACATTCACTTTTCCGTTCGCTAAACATAAACAAAGCAAGCCTCATAGAACTTAATTACAAAGCATATGATGCTTTCAAAATACACATATTTCCAACTAACCTTTGGCTTATACAGCCACTTTCTGATAGAATCCATCATATCTACTCGACCCTTTTGGCGCCCGGCAGTCTACAACATCACTAACCACATAATATCACTATCAAAGTCCCAGTCTCAAGAGAAACCAAGTCGAAATTGGAACACCGTGATTAGAAACCATGTTGGGTCGAGTCTCGCACACGACAGACGCCTTGCAGATCCACGGACTGGCACTGCCTAACGCCCCGAGTGATAACTACAAAATTTGCACGCTATAGTTAACTAAAATTGAACCAAAATTCACGGTGAACAAACGACAGCGCAATCCAAGATATCGCAAAGTACGCCGCGACGACAACGAAGACGTCTGCCTGGCAAAAACAAATGAATAATGAATCACGTTTGTATCGCTGATTGACGCATTTGACAGATCAACGGGTCATGCATGGCAGTATGTTATTTCTTGTGGACGGTGCGACGTTGCCAGACTGCATCGTTAAAAATCCATCAATTCGGAGGATGCCGATTGGACAAAACTTTTCGTTTAGCCAACATAGAGCGGTCAGCACTGCAGCGCTTTTAAGCTGAATAGCAGTAGACGTCGAATATCTTTGACAGTTCACAATATTAATCAACATACCATCAAATCTGACAGCCAGGTGAAAACCACAATTAAACTTGTTTTAAAGATCATACCGAATCATTTAAACCACTGACAATTAAGTAAACTGTAAGAAGTCATCACTTTAGAAAAAGCATCCACATTTACATTAAGATTTGTTGATGACTCCCATGAATGTTTCTTTAGCTAGTTTATACATAATAATAACTATTATTATATAAACTATGCTAGTATTTACAAAGAATGAAATTTCCAAAATTAAACTGATAAAGTTACTATTTGTGTTGTTGAGTAGGTACTTGTACAAAATTTCTAGTACGTAAATCAATCAAAATAGTAAAAGACTTCAAACGAACTCTCACCCCTTATTCCGCTCCCTTTGGGGATGAATTTCCAATAATCCTTTTAAGCTTTATGAAGAACCTCTCTGCAAATCTTCAATTTTTCAAAGAGGTTTCCCTTCAGGGGATGATTTTCTAAAAATGTCGAATTACATTTTTTGTGTATTATAAAGTATTTCTAAAGAGTGTCAAGTGAATCCACTAAAATGATAAAAAGTTCATAAAACCTATCCTCTTATTGCACCTCCTTAGAGAATTAATTTTCAAAAATCCCTTTTTAGTTTGGTGTAAGCTTCATGAGCAGCGCCGGCTTTACTTCTCCAGACAACTGGGGCGAAAATGAGGCGCGGGGCCCCTTAGTGCGCGTGAAAAATCTCCGTTTTTCAAAAAAGTGCCATACTTAGTGCGTATTGGTTGATAATGTAAAGTAAAACATAAGACATTTAATATTTAAACGATCAAAATACAGAATAATAAATTCGGAAAATTATTATTAATAATAATATATATAGTTTTATATTTTATACAACTTTAATAAAATTCGAAATTACATAAATTGTACAAATACATAATTTTACATTAGGAAAACTTCACTTTTCTTGATTTTACTTCTGCAAAAATATTAATCTAAATCTTTTGCTTCTTCTTTTTCTATTGATAACGCCGCCAAACTACATAAACGGTCTTGGTTCATTGTTGATCTTAAATAAGCTTTATTAAGCTTCAGTTTTGAGAATGATCTTTCCTCTGATGCAACTGTTACTGGCAATGCTAACAAGATTCTATAAATTGTATTCGTGTTTGGAAATATTGCTTTGATTTTGTTTTTAACTATATAATTAACTACGTCAATGGCATGTTCAATAGTTACTGGTAAAATTGTTTTAAAAATTTTCATTTCCATATACAATTCTTCCCCATCTACATCTTTCGAGTCACCATCTTTCAACATTAGATCTAAATTCTTACATCTTTCAAAATAAAAAATCGAAATTTTTTCGAAATTGGTTTACTTATTGGCTAAGGTAGTAGCAACCGTTCGCTCGCACTCGTTCGCTATTGAGCGTAAAAGATAATCGATTTTGGAGTTTTCAGCAGCTCGTCTACACTGGTGTACTATTGGGTGTAATTGTTAGTAGGGTAGCAACAACAAAGCACTTCGTCGGGTGAGCGGCGCAAGAATTCGCCTCGATCTTAAGAAGAAAAACGGGACACGTCATAAGTACATACGTTTTATTGCGACAGCTAAAAATTAAGTAATCCGACAAAGAGTTTTAGAAAAACATCCATTTTCGACGTGTTCCACTTTTCAACTTGAAACCGAGGTTGATCTTTGGTCCGCTTAACCGACGATTTACATTTGTTCGCTATTGGTCATTTGGGCTGACTGCAGCAACCACGTATTGACATGGACTTGCTGTTGGGTCATTGGGTTAGCCGTCAAACTTCTGAAAGCGCGGGGCCACGCACAGCGCGGGGCCCTGGGCGACCGCCCCGCTCTCGAACTACCCTAAGGCTGGTGCTGTTCATAAGGACGCAAAATTTCAAGTTTCTGCGATTCCGGCTCTGCGTCAGTCAACGAATGAGAGTATCATGATGCATGAGTATACGTCAGCATCCTCTTTCATTAATGATAGATCATACAACAAACCTTTTATTAATAACTTGGTGGATGGGCATAACAGCAGAAAATGAACATCCATCATAATTGTCACTGAAAGGACCTATATCAATATTGTAATGGTAAATACAATAAGGACCTTTTAAGAAGAATGAATTCCACCATTATCAAATTATCAGACCTGCTTGAAATTTGTACATGTGCATAATTCGAAAATACGTACCTACACGTATAAAGTACTGAAAGAAGAAAGAGTAAATACCTTTATGTCCACATTGATGTTTCTTGATGCTAAGTATTTTCCTCGAAATCCGGCATCGTGACATCTTTCTGTTCGGTGTAGTTGTATGTAGCTCACCTTAGGACCACTAGATGTCGTAACCACTTACTTCTTTTTTAAAGAAAACTTCATTTTTATCTCAGATCGAGTGTCCGATTGGGTAGTTTAAAATTATTTTCTTCTGAGGGACTTTTTAGAACTTGTTAACCTAACCACAGATTATAACCTAACCTCAAAATAAAACAACAGTAAATAATGCAAAATAGTAATATTTTGGTTTTGCATCTTCAGAAAACGTTAAGATATATTGGTAAATAATGGCTCAACCTACCGTAGAAGTAATTGTAGATGCCCTACCTTACATTGATCAAGGATATGATGAACCTGGCGTTCGAGAGGCAGTAAGTAAAACTTTTTCAACGAACGAAAGCGTCCAACCATCGCTATCCTCCCTCTATCTTTATCTAGAGTTCTTTTTTTGACATCTTTTGACGCTTTTCCAATTAAGATAGATTTTTGGGAGTATTTTTATATTGTATCTATACAGTATATAGCTGCATTTCAGCTAGATTGTAAAAACATGTTCTCAATATTGTAGGCCTTTGCTATGGTCGAAGAAGAATGTCGTCGATACAGACCGACAAAAAACTACCTAGAACACCTACCACCACTCAACATATCTACTTTTGAAACCCCCATAATGCACAATGAATTTGAACGCCTGCAAAACCGCCTCCCTATGGAAACTTTGTCAATGAGAAGGTACGAGTTGCCTCCTCCACCCAGTGGAAAGTTGAATGAGGTTGGAGCTTGGATAGAATGTGTGGAGAACTCCCAGGCACAGTTGGAACACCAGGCAGTTAGGATTTTGAATTTGCAGTTAATGTTGGAGTATTGTTGTCCTGCTTGGCAAAGGTAATTTGGATGCATTCATGAGAGCAAGCACGAACCAAGAGAGTTCACAATGAATTATCTTGCTGAGAATTGGTAACTTCAGATGTTCTTTGTTTGAATCATGAGATGATATTCTTAACATGGAAGTTCACAGCTCTACTGCATTCTTATAAGGAACCAATTTCACAAAAAAATTCATATTATATGTTCATAATGCCTTCCTTTAGCAGCAATGCAAACTTGACATCTTAAAGATGATCAGGATATCCGATGGGCGAATCTTCCATTATCAACAAATTCAGCTGCTTCCGTTATTCTGACCCGGAGCTCAGCAAATCTCACTGCTCCCCAGTGAAAAAAATCAAGTGGATTTAGATTTAGACTGCCTTATCCATCTGCATCAAGTAATTGTCTAACTGAAGGGGTATAGTGCGCCGGGCAAATGATTTTGTAAAAAGTGTAGATTTAAATTTCATCATTCTCTGGCTGCTCTAAGGGCACAATTATTCTCCCATTTAAAATCCCAGTCCACATGTTTCCGTTAAATTAATACTGTGATCTTGTCTCATTAATTTGAGTTTTCTACATGCTCATTTCAATTGTGTAGATTCATACAACTATCTTTTTTAGATGTCGACCAATCAGTTCATAAAATTCTAAAATCTAAAAATCGCGGATCTTCCTGGTGTCTCTGTCACATTGTTTGACAAAACACAACCCTTGGAAGATAATCCTGGGGTTGTAGAGATTGTACTAGCTGTACGTGTGGAGCTCGTTCTTATGCAAGATTCGGTCGACTGTACTTCTTGGCATTCCCGTGTTTGCTTTTATTTGACATACTGAAGTCTTCCACTGCTTGTAGTACGACTTCCTTCTCAGAGTAAATGGGGCACACTCACAAAAGCATGGTGAATCGGAACGACGAGCAGCATTTGGGTAGTTCTCACAATAAAACCTAGCTGCAGCACTAACATTGCATCTACATTCCCCATAAATGAGGTGCATGTTGGCGTATTCCTATATGGTATACACAGACATCTTGGCACTTTGCAATCATGAATTAATAAAAGTGGCGCTACTATCTTGCTGTCACTATGTAGAATGACACTGTCCATCACACTGTCTAAGAAAAAATTGAAATTTGTAGTAATGGAAACTAAAATATTATCACAGCAGGATGTAGAGTTTTTCCATATTTTTTTCAAGCCTATGGTTTGAAAAGTACACGACTTAGATATCTTTTTAGATTTTTCTGATAACTATTATGACTTCGTTTCCCGCTTGACGTCGACTTCTGGGACACCCTGTATGCCAAAATTGGAACCGCAGTTAATCAATCATCGATTGAGATTTTATTTCTAAGCAAGGATACAGCTGAAGTCTTGGAGAGGGTAGACCCGGGAGTTATTATGGACCATAATCTTTCTTTCATAAATCATATTGATTCTTGACCGAAGGCAATGAAGGTCTTTGGATTTGTTATATGATCATTAAAGGATTTTAATAACATTTTTTCTGACACGTTTATTGTCGGCCTCCCATCCTAACTGTCTTGAACTTCGTACATCCAGAACTGCCCCATACGACCGTTCCTTTGTCCCTAGGGAATCGAGATTCTGGAACAATGGACTTTTCCCAGTTCTACCAACCTTAGGTGGTTCAAAAATTGAATTACCAGTTTCTTTAAGCTCCTCATAGCGCAGCTAGCAGTTGCGGTACCCTGGTATTTAATTGTGCAATACTGAGAGCAGCTCGATAATATGCATCTCCTGTTTGGACACCTTAATACACAATGCATATATATTCAGTTGAAATTATGCACAACAAATTTTTAAGGCATGACTATAATTGAAAATATCATAAGAAGAAATTATTTTGCTGAATTACGTGATTTATTAAAAATCAAATTATTAAAAATTAGAAGAATTTACATTGATAACTGTATTCATATAAGTTGTGTGTATAGTCTGTTGTTTGCCTGAATTATCACCAAGGATCAATTTTGCGCATTTCAATCAGACAATCAAGGCTAAATGAGGTGTTTTGTGAACTTCCATAGAAATACTGCTGCAAATGGTCCTATATCTACGATGTGTAGACAAGGAAACAATGTACCGCCATCCATAGACAAATTTAATTTAGACTTCAAGGCTTTGAAGACAGGTAGTAGTTAAGAAATATTCATTGTATGCTTTCAAAATGGTTTATCCGTGAATATATGGTTATTATTATATTTAAAAAAGATACGCCACTGTCGAGGAAGTATTGTAATCGTAGAAAATTGATATTGTTTTTTACATGAAAAACAATATTAGTCATTCCCAATGATCTGACTGTCCGCTAATCCTAGGCCCATCTAGAACTTTTGAAGTATCAAATTTACCACTGTACCAAGGAGGAAAAAGCTTGTAGTTTTTCAAAATTGGTCCAGTGGCGGTTGAGCTACGGAGCATAAAACGAAAAAAAAAAAATAGAAATCACCCAGAAATTTTTTTGGATGTTTTAGAAGCTCCTGATCATTTTTACTTCCCACACCTGCTGGCGGGGGACTATTATATTTGGATGTTATATGTAATGTACATCACGAAAAAGCATGTCACTCATTTCCGTCTGCCTGTCCGCTAATCTCATAAACGCCTCTAACTTTGAAGTCCCACTTGGATTTCGATGAAATTTTTACTACCATGCCAAGGAGTCAAAAGCATTGTAGTTTTTGAAAATCGTTCCAGTGGCGACAGAGAAAAAGGCCAAAAACGAAAAAGAATAAAAGTCGCTCAACCTCCTTTTTTTTTTGAATTTTCAGAGGATCCATATAATGTTTAGAAACAAATTTTAAAGGGAAAAAAGCTTGATGGCGGGGAGGGTTTATCTCAATTTTTGATGTTAGTACATTTATACGCTCTCAACTTGCTAATTCTACGGACATATTAGACATATTTCATACATCATGGATTTCTCCGTAGATTGGCTCTTAACACTGCTAAAAATATTCTCAGCTCACTAATCTCGTACCTGCCGGCCGCGGCTGCTGCTCGCGTCCTTGGCCAGTGTTCTGGTATGGTGTTACTCGAATTTCTGCCGCACCACAGCATAGTGTTTCTTTTGCTCTGACCGCGCTGCCACGTATGACCGGGTTAAGTATCGGGGAGAGGCGACGTTTCCAGATGCACTAGCAGTAGGACAGGGAAAGAATGTCTGTGGACTGTTTGAATGACTTTTTCCTTCAAAAAAATAACGGCGTTGCTTGGGGCATGCAGAGTCAACCTATTTTCCACCATTTTCAGGAAAAAAATTGTATGGGTTAAAAATTGGGCGTTAAAGAGGGTAAATCTTATTTTTTGTTTTAGTATATTTATACGTTCCCATCCCCATTAATTCTACGCACCTTTTAGACATATTTCACACATCAAAGGTTTCCTGGCACATTTGGCCTCAAAATTTAGAATGATAAGAGAAAAACGCGTATCTGGTTTCTGACTACCTTTGTGCTGTATCACAGTATATCCGATAACTGACGTCTAACTGTCGGGCTGCCGAGACAGACTGACCGCGTAAGAAATGAAGATTAAACCTATTTGACTCAATTTTCGCTTTGTTCCAACTTATTTTCTTAACTGGAAGGGGTCAATAGCTTTAGCTATTTTAGAGGACTCCTAACATCTAATTATCCTTTTTAAAACTGAAAGAGGATTTAGCTAACTGAAAATGGTCTAATTTACTCTACAAAAAGCAGTTACTTGAGGTTTTTCTGAAAAAAAAACTTCAAAACAGTGCACCTTTTACCTGTTTTCATTTGTAGATATCTGCAGAGTTTGCAAGACATGGAGAAGATAGCATCAAAAAAACTGGCCGAACTGAGACAAGCCTTGCAACAAGTGAATTGGGAGAGAAAACGTCTGCAGACCAAAGGTGGAGAACAACTTAAAGCATTGGAAGCAAAATGGGTAGCATTGGTATCACACAATTATGAGGTAGAACAGGCGTGTTGCATGGCAGAAGATTATATTGCACAGGTTAAACAGAATTTAGCAAATAAGAATTAGGTGTATATTGTGGACATTTACTAGAATATTGTATTGTGTGCTGTAAATATATTTGTCATTATAAATGTATGTATACATCATATTGGAGATCTTGATACAGACATAAATCCCATGTTTTGAAGTGGAATGAAAGAGATATTTACAATAAAGCACAACAGACAATTAAACAATTTTTATTCAGTTCGTCACAAATAGATTTAAAATCGATGCACTTCACAAAAATAAGGCTCAGTTTAGATATATAAATAGACTGCTATCAAATTACATCATGTGTATAAAAAACTAACAAATCATTTAATACTGTCACCTACTAATCTAAAATATCAAATGTCGTAAATGGGCGTTCCATCTGCACTCCATGTGTTCTTCACTTTTTCGAAGACGAAAGTTGTGTATATTGCTAAAAAAGAATAATGGAAAGGAAATATGAGTGGAACAGAAGTGCAATTGATTAGTATATGCCCAATTCAATTAAAAGCCGGGCCTGCGTGAAAATAAAAATAAATTTTTGGAGAATATGTTAAGCAATGGAAGTGTTGAGCCAATCTCCCCAATTAATCTTTTTACTTACACGACGCTTCCCATTCAGACTTGGACATAGTCCCAACTTTATCTTGTCCATTCCCTTTCTCCTTAAGGAACTCTTCAGCATGTTTATAGTCATCTGATTCCTCTCCTAACGAAGAATGCCCTTCATTTGGAGGATAACTCTCCAGGGCTCTCATGATAGTTAGTAACTGCTTGCCTTCATTTTTCATTCTTTCAAAATAGTCCTTGAATTTTTCTGTTTTAACGAGCTTCAGTCCGAATTTTTTCGCTAGTTTTACTAGAGTCGGAAAATGTACTAGGAATTCAGGGCAGTCTACTACGTCTTCTAGTTGGAAGTGACATTTGGCGCCGAATAGTGGTGGCCTGAAAAAATCAATCTAATCGTTATGAGTACATTTCTCGAAATGGTTCATAAAGTGAAAATTGAACAAAGTCATTTCACCAGAATACGTTAATCAATGACTAAATATACCCAACTAAAATTGGCATTAGAAATGCGCCAAAAAGGGAATGACGATTCTAACCTCATCTATGAGAGCATTACAGAATCAAAAACTAACTCTTTTTAAAGTGTATTTCTAAAAATAAAGTATATGGTTGGCTATTTTCAGGTAGAATGTTGATGGGAAAAATGCCCAAAAAAATAATTCTTAAGCATAAAGCAAAATCACTTACTTATCAATATCAAAATCCAAGCTGACTTTATAGATATTATTCCCGTAAGTATCGCTTTCTGACCTTCTGGCTCTGGCAATGAGGTCATATGCATCTGTGATGGTGCCAATGAAATAACCTCCAGGTTGTAGGCATTCTGCAGCATTCCTCAACATGCACTCAGCTTGAGGTAGACTTTCAAAGCTGTAATGAAAGGCAAACTGGCAGCTAACAAGATCTATTTTCATTGACGGGTCAGAGTATTTCTCACGAAGACGTGCCCTAAATGAGAAAAAATTATTGAATTAGATATGAAATAATGAGTATAAGCATTGATTAACGTATTGAATATAGTATATGAAGATAGCCAATCATAATATGTAATCTATTCTGGCATCCAAAAGGAATCTGAAAGATACTAACGCCAATTAGGACAGTAGCGGACCAAACACTAAATGCACTTCAAAGTAGTATCTATTTTTTTGTGCTCTGACACTGTCTCATAGATGGCGCTAGGATCGTTTAGATCACTTTTCGACTCCAGAATACAGTACCTATATAGTTGGTAAAATATGTTAATTTATTGTATAAGTCACAAGAAATATATAGAAATGATGGGACACTGTGTATGTAATTCTAGAAAAGGTAACCTTTGCTGATGACACGACTATAACAGTATCAGCAAAGTTGCTAGAGGATCTAGAAAGTAAGGCTATCATCATAATGCCAAGTTTTCAAAAGTGGGTAGTATTAAATAGGTTACTAATTAATACAGATAGAACCAAATACATCTTGTATCACAAACGAAGGTTGCAAACCAACATTACAGTTACAATAAACAATAAGTCACTGGAAAGAGTGCCAGTCAAAAAATATTTTGGTCTAACATCTGAGATGGAAAGTCCCCATAGATTATGTAGCCAAAAAAATGAATTCAGCATTTTTGAGCTCTAAGAAAGTTTAATAAAAAACACTGATTAAACATCTACGACTTCATTTTATATTCCCACCTAAAATATTTAGTGCTATATTGGGGACCATCTGTTGAGGCTTTTATCTTTGCAAAGAGAATAGTCAGACTTTTTATACTCAATGCATCCTCTACAGTATTGTCGAAAAACATTTAGAGATGAAAAAACACTAACATTAGAATCATTACTCATTCTAGAGGTGTGCCAACAATGTTACAACCCCCCCGCTACCCCCGCCCCCAGAGGACTAGAGCAGTCTTTGAAAAGATGGTATAAACTATAAACGTCTTATAAAAAAATCTGTAACTTTAAGAAAGGACAGCGGCAACACTGCCAACCCGCTCAGTGGGCATGCGACTAGCGAATACTCTCACACCAACAGCAACGGTGTGCGCTTCTTCCTGTTGGAACAGGTATAGTCTAGTCTTTTATGGTCCAGTCTACTGTCCAAATTCAGTCCGGAGTCCGCAACGAAATTTGGCTGAGAACCAGCGGAGTTTTGTTGATCTGGTTGGTATTAAAGCTATTTTCTATGTTCTATTGATTTTTATTTTCCACGCATAAGCCAGAAAATGAATTTTTGGTTGTTTTTAGAAATGAAAATATAATATAATTTCAATTACTAAGTGTTTGGTCCATACTCCAGCTATCATTATCATCTATGTCTATTTTGTCTCGGAAGTCCCTGTATATAAGCACTTCAGTGCATTTCGTTCGTCCGAGATGGCAAATTATATATTTAGTTTTTGAAAAGTGCGTGAACTTAAGAAATCTTGTTTTCCAAACAGAAAAGGTTCTTTGTTATAAGATACGTGAATGCGTGGAAACCAGTAATGGCGTTTATTTGACAATATTTGTGTAACTTTTAGTGCCGGTTGACGGCTGCTGTTGTCAGGATGAGTAAAAGGAAACAATACCATCGATTGGTTCCTTTCTAAACAAAACAAACTGTCTGATCCACCGACATAAGAATTACCGGAAAAAACTGATGATAATCCTACAATTCAACCTGAGCCTTCCACTTCAAAATTTCTTGATGTTGCACCGTATGCTGAACCAAGTGTTGAACAATCGGGTGTGAAACCTAAGGATCCAATTTTGTTGATGTTGCGCCATATGTAAATTTCAGCGGCAACTTGTCTTCCCATGAAAAATATACCTTATTGAGGTGTGCAATGATCTCTAATGACTCTTTCAAATATCCCTATTCCACTCACTTGAAAAATAATAAGGAAGTGAAACGTTACTTATCAAAAAAACACTTCGAGAAATTTCCTTGCCTGTCATATTCAGAGGAACTACAAGGGGTTTTCTGTAAATATTGCGTGGTTTTTGCAAAATTAGGAGGAGTACATAAATCAACTAAATTAGGAAAACTTCGTACCACTAAAGAAATTTTCGAAATTGTATGGCAAAACCGGTGATTGTGAGACACATGAGAATGCAATATATCATACAGAAGCAGTTCCAGATGCTACAAACTTTTTAAAGATTTACGAAAATCCAGAGAATGATATAAGAAATATAATAGGTTCAGAGCGAATTAAGCAATTATCAGAAAATCGGCAAAGATTGTCTCCTATAATAGAATCTATAATTTTTTTAGGACGCCAAAATATACTACTAAGAGGGCATAAAGATAGGGGATGACTTTTTTCTAATGACAACACGAATGACGGGGATGTCCTTAATAATGAAGGGAATATTACAGAACTAATACGGTTTAGAGTCGGGAGCGGCGACAATTTAAACTTAGAGAACACAAAAGCGCACGCTACGTACATAAGCAGCCGCATCCAAAATGAAATTATAGAATGTTGTGGCGAAGAAATCTGGGATATAGTTTTAAGTCGCGTCAGGTAAAGTCAGTATTACAGTATTATATTTGACGAAACTACAGACATTAGCCATAAATCACAAATGTCAATCGTATTGCGGTATTGTTATCAAACACATATTTACGAGGACTTCATGGCATTTGTGGATTGCTACCCAAATTTTGATGAAGATACAATGGAGCCCAAACTCACAGGTCAAATTCTTGCTCAAACAGTCAAGCATTTCATTGAATCCAATAACTTAGACTCAAAACTATGTGTGGGCATTGGTACTGATACGTGTAACCTAATGTTAGGTGAACAATAGGGGGCTGGAATTGGAAAAATGTTTGCCAAATGCTCTAAAAAGCCCATGCGCAAATCATGCCTTGAATTTTTCGATTTCAAAAAGCAGCAGTTGTAAAGCAGTGAGAAATACTGTAGGTATAATGAAGGAAGTAATTGCAAAGCATCCGCTGAAAGAAATACAGTATTAAAAAGAAAAATAGACGGATGTCAAATTCATAGTACATATATGCGAAACACGATGGACCGAGAGACATGATTCTGTGCTCCAATTTGAAATATTATATCAAATTGGAACGACCGCGAAGCTTCTTCAAAGCGGAGTCTTTCCACCCAATTTATTGTATCACTAAAGTGTTTGTGTGATATAATAGCATTAACAGTCAACCTGAGTAAGATTTTACAATCCAAAACAATTGACAAACAATACGCTGTCAAACTCATAGGAAATATTATTATAGTTGTACAAGAAAGACCGCAAATTCCGAAAAACACTTTAGAATACTATTCGCATCAATAATGAAATCACATGAAACCCTGGGTATTAAACTGACTGTGTCAAGAATAACAAGCAGGCTAATGAACAGGCCGTTATGTCTGTCAAGGAAAATCATTATAGACTGAACCTATATGTCCCTTTGCTAGATAATATATTACTGGATTTGGCATACCGGTTCAATGAAGAATCTTTGAATATATACAATTTTATTATTTAAAAAAAACCGAAGCTGAAGTAATGGACATATTAGAAACAATCTCTAAATATTTGAATGGACTAAATAGGCACGAAAACAAAAATTTAATAACTACCAAATTAAATGCAGAATTTGACCTTTCCAAGTCACGTACACAAGATATTATAGACAGTGGAATGTAACTGTATTTATCATCTGATGGAAACATTTTTCCTTCAATTAATAGATGCCCCTGATTTCATTGCCGTTAAGAGTTGCGACATCTGAAAGAAGTTTCTCCCATCTAAAGAGGATAAAAACTTGGCTGCGCTCCACTATGTTACAAGAGCAATTAGTGGGTTTAGCTCTTTTGTATATGCATCGGGATATTAAAATCGACGTGAATACAATCATAGATCGGTTCGCCAGCAAAAAGAATAGGCGCCTTGTTTTTGTAACATGATATCACCTGAACTTTGCCTAAGGTTGTCTCTCAAATCCATCTCCCTTCTGTTGGCCAATAAATAAAAAAGCAGATGTAGTTAAGGGTTTACTTACGTTTAAACCCTCATGGTGATCTTTTCCAAAGTATCCAATCAAGATATGTGGTTTTATTTATTGGCCATCAGATTGATATAAAAGTATGTTCAAATTCTGTTCAAATCACTTTCTAAGCTAATGTAATGATTGTTTTACTTTGAGACTGTGAACTGATGTAGTCTCATAGTTTATATGTGTTTGTTTTTTGAGACTGGCTAAGAGAATGTAGTTATGCAATGAATATTTTTTGTGTTTTCTCATGATTAAGAATTTTATTTTGATTTACATTCAGTTTTATACTTTATAGAAGTCGTAACATATTTGTTGTTGTTATTTTTTTCATTAATTTTTTGTTGTTTTGTCTGACATTGTTATGTAGAAAAGTCTGTGATAGATAATATTATTTTGTATTTTTGTTTTAATATATGAAGTTTGCTCGAGCTTGGTTTGCTTTATTTAGACTTTGATTTTGTATGATTCAAAATTAAAAAGAATTGTATGCATTTTCTACAGAAATTACTGCAACAAATTCACATGTCTGTCTTTTAATGTTAAATCATTATAACACGTCAGTACGTCACACTGAGAATTTACTTTCCATTTTACCCCTCCCAGACTGAAATCCTAGGAGCGCCACTGTGTTACATAGAACAACTGTCGCCTACCTAACCACATACCCTAATAGTCCAGACTACCTATGCAGATATATCTTCTGCCCTCTGAGTTAAAAACCATCAATGACTTAAAATTCTTCAAAAAACAACTTTTAACATACTTGTACCCCTAACTGTTTTTACTCTGCAAGAGTTTCATAATTCTTTATAATCACATGGTTTTTCTTCTATTTAATTTAATCATGTATAAATTTCTTTTGCTTATGTACATCTGATCTTTACCTGTCGACATTTCATATCCACAAAGCAATTTGAATCAAAGTCATTATTATTACCGTACGGTAGCCGCAATATATATTCAAGAGACTCTAATTTTTACATTTAAAAATATTAACAATTTTATCTGTAACCCACGAAGTGACTATAACACAAGAAATAGAAATATAAATCTTCTGTATACAGTCCATCATCTCACGGTTACCGAAAAAAATGTCCATTACATTACAAATATATATATATATATATATAATAAGTTACCACAAGAAATTAAAAGGTTGGCAGATATAAAAGAATATAAAAAGAGTATTTATCATTGTTAATGCACTTAGAACCATATGACCTTCAAGAATATTTTGAAATGTAATATCTCTATTATGTTATATGTTTTGCCTCTTTGTTTTTTCTGTCTTGATGACACTGTGACGTATATTTCACCTGTATAATACATTGTAATCATGCACTGTTATTTTGAAATAACGATTTATTATTATTATTATTATCAAAACATTTTCACTGTGATGTATAACAAATTTATATTAACACGCCAAATGCCAAGCAAAATGTTAGAAATATGTCCATCAGGCCAAAGCGCCAAGGTCATGTTTCCAACAAATAATGTGTCTAATCTACCATCTAAGTCAAAAGCTGACACAAGACGGGAATGACATGTACTGAAAAAAAGGAAGGAAATTCACATGAAGTCAGACAGTACTGTAGAGGATGTTATAATAAAGAAATAAGTGGTGAAATACCAAAAAATAAAATTCAATCCCCACTTTTGCCTTGACTGTTTCGCAACAAGTCCTAAATAAATGAAATTATCTATATTTTGTATCCCTATATCATGACTTATTTCATATATAAGCATTATCACTAGAATCTTGTTTGTTTTTGTCAAAGTTGTTCTGTAGATTTAGTAAGAAAAAAAAGATGAATAACTCCATTTAAAACAAAAATACACAAAAAGTTGCTATATGGGTATAATCCATACAAGCCACAAAGGTCCATATCTAACGCTAAAATGAATTTAAATATGGACCTCTGGCTGGAGTCACCAGGGAAATAAATTAAATGCAAAGCAGCCCATATGGACCACCGTGGCATGATAGGCCTGTTGTCAAGCGGTCCCACAGGACCACCATGGCGTTTAATGTGTTAAGAGAGCTTGCATTAAAAAATATTGTTGATAAATTGCTATTTTTTTTATAAAAAGGCGTTAATACAATTCTAATAACAATATTACAACTAAATTTTACCGTGTACAATCAGCACAAATGTACTCGATAGAATATATATTTCCACCTCCCCTCTCTCTAGCAGACCTGCCTTTCATATGATAATACCTTGCTTTACATTGCTCTAAGGATATGGATGCAATATCACTGCATATTAAATGTGTTATTCCACCTTTTCTCCATTTTAACAAATCCCCACCTTTGCCACAACACATGTCATGGACTCTTACAGGAGCATTATGCTGTTTTTTGTTCTCTTTGACTTTAGCAAGATATTCATTAATCAGCATGCTTTTTATCCAGTTATGAAAGTTTCTCAAGTAAACGATTCTTGATTTTGAACGTTCAATAATTCCTTTCTCCTCTAAAGAGTTGTAGTGAGAAGCTACTACATCGGCGTAGCCTTTTCGAATCTTAGAAAGGCTCTCTGAGGTATCGTTGGGTTCTAACGACCTCTTTTTAGGTTTAACTTTTGGTTGTGGTTCAAGGTTTATTTCAGACTCTGTGGTTTCTTTTTCTAAACCATATTCTGCGCTTTCTGATGTTTTGACTGGTTCGTAGGCTCTGGAATCAGCATCTGCAGCTGCAATGAGCAGAGCTTGTTCTAAATCCGAGATTTCGCTCATTTTTTTGAATTAGCTTAGGGATTCAAAAAGCTCAGAAGTCGTTTACATGTTCACGGATGAGTCAAAAACATGTTTTACATCATTTAGAAAATATACATTTTGTTACATTTCCAAAGAAAAATATAAATAAATGCAATACTTTTTAAGACTGACACATAACCAACCTTTCAAATTTTTGACGTGGAATAAGGAACAACAAATTAGAGAATCGGGCGAAGACCGAAGAGCAAGGGGAAACACGGTTGATTTGTCAGTGTCAAGCAGTCAAGCGCCATTCGTTCTAGATGCCATATGAACAATGAACTGTTAACACTGATGAATCAAATCCAAGCGAATAACAAAATTTCTGTGTTATGTGCCGCGGTTATAATATGGTTCAAGATGACACACGGGTTGATGACGTCAGTTACACGAATCGCTTGAACGCGTTGGTTTTAACCGCGTTTTGTTGCAAGTTGTTTTATTTTAGAAAAGCACGTATATCACTCTGATTATTTTTATTATCACTTGATAATCGGTGCTTTTTCGTCTACAACTGTATATGGAAACTTTAAATAAGAAACCTTTCATAATATTCATGGGAGAAATGTTTTTTTCAGATTTTTTTTATAATGGAACCATGGCTTTGTAGCTATGATAACTTTCAATTCTCTAAATTTTTCCGCATGTGAAAGAAAACATTTATAGATTCAGCAGAAATGATGAAAAAAGAAATTAGCAAAACTGTATACAGGTGGATATCATCTAGTGAGTTTATATGGCCATATTTTAATATTCTAGTGTTATATGGCTACACAGGATACTTTGTTAAGCATAGGAACTACATTTAAAGTGTCCCCAACAATCGTAATGAGTATAACTAATAAGGTGCTCCACTTTATGGTAAAACTGAAGTCAGCCTGTATCATTTTTCTCAAAAAATGAAGCTGAAGTACAATAACAATATCCAATACCCGGCAAAATTCTAACTTGTCACATTTCAAATAATAACCAGAAATATAAAACTACTCTTGAGTTGGGTAAATACCACAATTTTGCGGTGATAACTATGACATATAACAGCTGATTCGTGACGTCACGGATCTTATAACCAAACTGATAACTACACTCGCTTGAACGGATTGGTAAATACCAACCCAAAATGGTAAATACCATTTCCATTTGGTTATCCGCTTGAATTTGATTATGGAATCGCTCCGTCCCATTTGTACAATGAAACGATAATGCGGCCAACATACGACAAAGTCGTCCGAGAGAGAGATGGAGCTAGTTAGGGCAAAAAGCGCGCGGACTTGAAAGAATTGCATAGGAAACCGAGGATTCTTAGAGAAGATTTAAAAGTTATTCAGGCAACTGGAACGAGATAAAATCCTGGAAACGTAATTATAATTAAAAAAACAAGTTTTTTTTTTATTTATATATACATATGTATGAAACTTGACAATAAATTCTCCTTTACACATTTGAAGATATAAAAATTAGTATTTAACATAAGTAATTAATAATTCAGGTAGCAAAGAGATTACATGTCTGCTTATAATTAACTTAACTGCTCTAATATGCTATATCTTGCATATAAAAAATAAGAGCTCTAAGAACTATCACAATAAATAAATGTTATTTTCTATATATCTTTATAATGTTCCAAATAGTATTTATGCACATTTAAATCTATATTATTTTAAATGTAGTGGGAACACGTCCAGTTTTGTAGAGATTAGTGTACAAAGAAAAAACCCTTATATATATATATATATACAAAATATTTGTGCACAATGGCATTAACAATACTGTAGATGCACAGTTTTTCATTATAATACAATATAGGTTATACCATAGTTCATTCTAGAAATTATGTATTCATGTTTTCTTTTCAAAACCCTTCGATAGCTAGGTTCTTACTTGAGATGGGCTGGAAAATCAAACACAGATGGAACTGGCACCTTTTTTAGTACTTTATTTTCATGAAAACTAAAGTTTTCTCTTCTTATAGCATGTAACCACAACTTCCTCATGTTAGGATCTGTAGGTATCCTAAAAATCCAGATATTTTCTCGAAGTACCAATTAACAGGTAATTCTATCACAAAAATGAATGAGATGATTAAAACCAACCTGTGAAACTTCATTTTCACATCTTTTCTGAGTCTTAAACAAATATCACATAAAACAACAGCTCTTGAAGGCTGTCCGGCATAAAAATGTTTATAATAATTGTCGCAAACTATCACTATTAATCTTTAACGTCACTAAAAACAAACATTCACCAAAAATCCTTAGAACATATATGGAAATACCACAATGGACCACGATGTTTTGCCCTGACTAGCGCTATCCTTCTCGTTTCCCATTCTAGCCGCAATAAATTCGCGTTACGCCTGTTCCATCAGTGTTGACAGTTCATTGCATATGAATCAAATCCAAGCGAATAACCAAAATTTCTGTGTTATGTGCCGCGGTTATACCTTTCCTTATAGTAGATGCCGCTAATCTGAAATAGGATCCAACATTGCATAAATGTGTATAGTAGTACTCACAACAGGAAAAGAAAGTCAAGCTCTAGTGTAAGCAATTTCAGTGGGGAAACTCTAGTAACGTTATTCGCTATTGCTATGGCTTAATTCGATGTTCCAGAAAAGTAACCATACTGCTACCTACGATGAATATACTTATTTTGAAAAATATTTAGCTGAATGTGGCGTCCTTAAGCAAGAGATAACTATAAAAATTGCACGAAATGAAGAAAACTGTATACCTTTTGACGTGAATGTTAACAGCTAATTTAACTGGACATTATTATTAATCAAATTCAAGCGGATAACCAAATGGAAATGGTATTTACCGTTTTGGGTTGGTATTTACCAATCCGTTCAAGCGAGTGTAGTTATCAGTTTGGTTATAAGATCCGTGACGTCACGAATCAGCTGTTATATGTCATAGTTATCACCGCAAAATTGTGGTATTTACCCAACTCAAGAGTAGTTTTATATTTCTGGTTATTATTTGAAATGTGACAAGTTAGAATTTTGCCGGGTATTGGATATTGTTATTGCACTTCAGCTTCATTTTTGAGAAAAATGATACAGGCTGACTTCAGTTTTACCATAAAGTGGAGCACCTTATTAGTTATACTCATTACGGTTGTTGGGGACACTTTAAATGTAGTTCCTATGCTTAACAAAGTATCCTGTGTAGCCATATACCACAAGAATACTAAAATATGGCCATATAAACTCACTCCACCTGTATACAGTTTTGCTAATATCTTTTTTCATCGCTTTTTCATCATTTCTGCTGAATCAATAAATGTTTTCTTTGACATGCGGAAAAATTTAGAGAATTGAAAGTTATCATAGCTACAAAGCCATGCTACCATCATTAAAAAAAAAATCTGAAAAAACATTTCTCCCATGAATATTATGAAAGGTTTCTTATTTAAACTTTCCATATACAGTGTAGACGAAAAAGCACCGATTATTAAGTGATAATAAAAATAATCAGAGATTATATACGCGCTTTTCTAAAATAAACAACTTGCAACAAAACCGCGGTTAAAACCAACGCGTTCAAGCGATTCGTGTAACTGACGTCATCAACCCGTGTGTCATCTTGAACCATATTATAACCGCGGCACATAACACAGAAATTTTGGTTATTCGCTTGGATTTGATTATTGTTGTCAATTTATACTCAGTGTATATAATCAAATTCAAGGGAATAACCAAATGAAAATGGTATTTACCATTTTGGATTGGTATTTACCGATACATTTAAGCGAGTGTAGTTATCAGTTTGGTTATAAGACCCGTGACGTCATGAATCAGCTGTTATATGTCATAGTTATTACCGTAAAATTGTGGTATTTACCCAACTCAGGAGTAGTTTTATATTTCTGGTTTTTATTTGAAATGTGACATTTTTGGGAAACTTGATACAGGCTGACTTCAGTTTTAGCTTAAAGTAGAGCACCTTATTAGTTATAATCATGACTGTTGTTGGGGACACTTTGAATCTAATTCCTTTGCTTAACAAAGTATCCTTTATAGCCATATACCATAAAAATATTAAAATACAGCCATATAAACTCACTGGATGATGTCCACCTGCATACGGTTTTGCTGATATCTTTTTTCATCATTTCTGCTAAATCAATAAATGTTTTTTTTGACTTGCGGATAAGTTTAGATGATTAAACGTTATCATGCACCGATTATTAAATGATAATAAAAATAATCAGACATTATATATGCGCTTTTATGTTCTGTGTGTTTTCATATTGAAGTTTGTGATTGAAGCATGATTGAAGTATTGAAGAAGGAAGATGTGTTTTCGTTTTGTGTATTGAAGTGTAAAAGTGTATATAAACAAGAATCAATTTTCCAAGTTTGCAATTCATGAATAGAAAATATCATATTAGTTCATAATGGAACATGAAACGGCGGTGTTTGAGAATCCACCAAAATTGAATTTATTGAAATAAAGAAGGAGCCAGAAGTAGATACTGAATTATTTCGATACGATGAAGACGCAACACACAATGTTATGTATGCAGAAGGTGTAAAAATTAAGCAAGAAATAGATCTACATAACATAAAGTATGAATCTGAGAATATATCTCATGAACTTCTCATCAAAATTGAAAATCATTCTGGCAGTTTCACAAACCCAAATGCAGATACACTTTTAAATAGGTAATTTTATGGGCTTATTTGCACATAATTTAGATGAATAATATTTTATCGTATTACAGTGCCGAGAAACAGAAAAAATCAGGAAGAAATGCGAACAGAAACGCATCTGAAAGTAGTTATAATCTTCACACTTGTGTACACTGTAACATGACATTTGAAAGTAAAAGGAATCTCGACAATCACATAGTAGAAAAACATTGTCATAAAATACACCAATGTACAAATTGCAAATTCAAAACTACTTATAAGTGTAGCTTGGAAAGGCATATGTTGAAGCATACTGGAAACTACAAGCTCATTAAGTGTGAATATTGTGATGAAACATTTAAAACAAACCAAGTTTTGAATAGTCATATCATTCAAAAACATCCTGAACACATATCTTCTCTATCTCAAAAAGTATATGAATGTAAATATTGTACATACAAAACTATTGGAAAATATCAACTAGCTAGACATATGTTGCAACATAAAGAATCATCAGTAGATGATACTCTTAATATGTGTTCACACTGTAGGTCAGCATTTGTAAATAAAGAAACACTGGATGCCCATATACTCAAAAAACATCCAAAATTTGCTATAACCATTTCTAGTGAAATATTTAAATGCCCTCATTGCAAATTTCAAACTACAATGAAACTTGATCTCAATAAACATATGCTTCAACACCCAACAAAAAAAGTTGGTCGCAACATGCTTACAACATGTTGCCACTGTAATGCAACATTTAAAGATCTCCAAAATTTATCTGAGCATATTATTAAAAAGCATCCAGAGTTTATATCAACTGTGTATCATAAAATACATTGTTGTACAAGTTGTGAATTCAAAACTACAAAAAAGAATAGATTAACTAGACATATGTCGACACATTCCTCTCAAGTGTCTGATAAAAACAATGAGGTGCCTGTTAGAAAAAAAATTTGCCCTACATGTGTTCATTGTAACACTACTTTCAAAATTATGAAGAGTCTGAACAATCACATACTTAGAAAACACCCTGATCATTCTGAATCTGTCTCATCTACATCTCAAATTCTGCATTGTATGCACTGTTCCTACCAAACTCTTTGGAAGAAAGTTTTGATAGAACATATTTTGACACATTCAAAGCTTCAGTCTTGTTCATATTGTATTGAATCTTTTAAATCTAAAGGAGATTTAAACAGTCATATATCTGAAAAACATGCGCGTAAAATACATCACTGTACATATTGTGATTTTACAAGTTCCTATGGTACTTGCTTAAAAAAACATATGATGAAACATACTGGGAATTATAAGCTTGTTAAGTGTAAATATTGTGAGGAAACATTCAAAAAGACTGAAACTCTAAATAGCCATATCATTAAAAACCATCCAGAATTTGTTGACTCAATTTCACATAAGATTTATGAATGTCCAAGTTGTGTATACAAAACTGTTAGCAAATATCTGATGTCTAGGCATAAGTTACAACACCCAGAATCTGGGAACGATAGTCTCATTTTTTGTCCCCATTGCAATGGCAGTTTCACAGAAAAAGATGATTTAGACGAGCATATATCCAAACAACATTCCGAATTAGTGGGATCTGTTACTAATAAACTATATGGCTGCAAACATTGCACATTTAAAACTGTCAGTAAACGTCATTTAGTTAGTCATATGCTTGAGCATCCTGAGTCTGATAGTCTGTTAAAGTGTCCACATTGTAATGTGGTGTTTACTAATAAAAAATTTTTGGATGGCCACACGCTCAAGAAACATCCGCAGTTTATTGAGACGCCTATATATACGTGCCCGCATTGTACGTTTTTAACTACTAGGAAAGGTGTTCTAGCTAAACATGCCAGAAAACATTTTAATAAATAGGCCACTCTATTTTAGTCAAGTATTCCTATCTACAAAAGCGGATATGTTTCGCCCACCCAAAAGTCCATTTCTGGATGAATATATTATATACATATATTTGAAAATTATTTAGTCATGTATATTGATATTTTAGTTCTTTTTTGACTGTATGCCGACCTTTTTGGTGATTGCTTTAAGAGATTCTAGGTAATAATGCGCACTCGTAAAAACTATTCAGTCAACGTGTTCGTTCCCGTGCTATTTTTTATATTTCAGCTTTTTATTATGTGATGCAAGTGTATGATTTCTTCATAATAAAATTTACCTTAAATATTATCTTTTGTTTCAGTCCTCAGATTTTTTAAAAATTAAAAATTCCAAGGAGAATGACACTCAAGTCGGGAAAAGTATAATCTAAAGCTTATAAATCGGTTGTTTTATTATTCTACTAAATAATTACAGTTATAAAAAAACCTCCACACTCACTACATAATTTTAATATATCTTTTCACATTATCCAGATCACGTTATTTTGCAGCATACTTCTCATCCTCAGCAAACCAATCTTGATACTGAACCAACTTCTCGTACCAATATTTGCTCAGTTCCTTCACACTCTCACCTTTTCCTCCATAATCCGAGGGTAAAATATCTCTATCGATTTCCTTATAAAGAGATTTTGCCCCACCATAGATAACTCTTACTCTACTCTTCATTTTCTGTGTCATAAAACTTTTGAAGATGCTTAACACTAAGTTTATATATATTGGAGCGTTGATAAAGTCTAGTCGCTTGGGTCTGAAAATTGAACAGATCAGATATTCTGAAAATTTAGGAACTTTGGGAACACTAGGATTCTTACCTGATCGTGTAATTCTGCCAAGCAAACACAGCTCTGCGAATGATATTGATAGTCATCTGTTTTGCATGCCATATTGTTACGCCGGACATGTCAAAGATGGCAAGACCACCGTAGATCTGGCAAGATTCGCTTTCCATCACAGCAATGTCCAGGATCATCTTGCCGACTTTGAAAATGTCCTCTTGACTGTGAATGCTGGGATTGTGGGCTGCCGTACGTATTATGATTACCAATCTGGAATAAATAAAACAATGTACAAGAAAATGAATATAGTTTGACGGCATCAAGCCACTTCATTTTACTGAAAGGAAAATATGTCTTTAACATCTCACATCTTACTTTCTACTAACCTCCCGTCACTTGTCTGCCTTAACGGGAGAAATATTCCAAGTCTAACTAATTCTTCTACCTCTGGTAATAGAGGATTCCTGTTTTTAAACCAAATGGGTTCATCTCTCCTCATTGTATAGTAGTTTATTATTTTTTGTTTCGTCTTCTCTAGATTGAACTTGCAACCTCTTAGGAATGGTAACAAATACTTCGTTTCTGTTTTTGCATTTAGGTCTGGTCTTTCCTCTTTCAACCATCTAAAACAAATCAAAATATCGTTTTATTTCAAACTCCGCAGACATAACCCGATACATCTATTCTGAAAAATAAGAGAGAAATGAAATTTACCTTCCAATCTCTTCAAGTCCAGCTGTTCTACTCTCAACAGTTTCATTCAGAGCTTCTTCAGCATATAATCTGGTTTCTTCCCCTAGCGTAAACTCGTACTCATCTGTCATCTTTCTGCCACAACTGGTTGGATAAACTACATGTCTTTTAGTAATACGGAATATAATTACTAATTACTGTAGTTTTATTGGGTCAAAGTATTAAATCATTTATTTGCAGATTGTTAATGCTGACTAATGGACATTGAACAAATGTTTGTAAATTGGTAGACGTTATCTAAACCAGAAAAGTGTTACTTTGTGCAGTGTGCACAAATGAGCATGTGTGTCGCTTAAACGAGATAAGGCTCATTCAACTTATTATACGTGTGAATGTTATTTTTTCTTTCCCGTTGATAGCGCATGTTATAGACCAAGCGTTATATGTCTAACGTAGCAAGAAATTATATCTATAAAGCTATGTACAGATATGTAAAAACACCGCGAACCGAACCATGCGACGAACCGCAGCGCGCGCATTTTGTCGAATAACATTGCAACGGGCATCACCACAAACCGAACCACGTCGTGCAACCACATCGCGCAACAAAATGACGATCCAATTTTGATGTTTGTTGTTCAGTGTAAGACATCATTTTTTTTATTGTAATTCAGGGTATGTTTTGCATCCCACAATAATTCCCCTGCTCTGTAAAACTCTATAAGCAAAAAAGTGTTCTCCTCCGACCATTCCTTCTTTTCTTCACGGGCTCTATCCATTTACTGATATGAGCGCGTGCTCGCCGCACCGATATCCCTGTCCAAACATGTGCAACTTCGTCGCGAGCATTTCCTTTGATATTACGCTGAAAAACTAACAGAGTCTGGATCGGCCCGAACAGCGAGCTGTAACGCTTATCAGGCTCGCGACGTCGTTTTTTTCACCGTCTACACTAGCGCGGCGCGGTTTGTCGCGTGATTCGGTTCGCGGTGTTGTTACATATCTGTACATAGCTTTAGATGCTTTGGCAACAGAAGTTCAAAGTGAAACACTGCACCAGTCTAAAATAATCGCTTGATAGCGATCCGCACGGGTATTGCGTATATTGAAAAGTGACATTTTGTCGTTTTTTGTTTTTTAGATTCCGTAGGTTCTTTGTGACGTAACGTAGGTTTTTCTACAAGATGTTAACTTAGCGCAAGCTGTTGTTCACTTGTCAGCGATCATAGCGAGAAAATCAGGAATGAACTATTTGCACACTAAAAACTACCTAGTCTGCAAGACATTTCAACGTTTTTTTTTACGTTTTTTAGATAATACCCCTGCTGATCGCTATACTTGTTACTTGTGTGCTAGCTAGTCGCTAGTACAGGCCACGCCTACTCGTTATGAATGCTATCGAGGATTGGATTGACAGAAAGAGCTATAGAACTTACAGCTCATTACGCCATAGAAGCTGCGAATGGCCTCTACTAGTGTCATCTCTGGAGCAGATGTTACATCACATCATCGCCACAGCATATAGGTCAATTATCTTGACGTTTACACACACAGCTACTTCAAGTGAACATCAAGTGAATAATATCTAGTTCCAAACTGATCATTATGGCGATCAGATTGCTATGCAGGCCATTTTTCAGTTACGGAATACGGGAGCCGATTTATATGCTCATACTTATGCAAAACTGCATTTTTAATAGCTGTAATCGATGGTTACATCCATTATTCATAGATCATGCAGATTATCCTCGTTTTTTAGATCGTCTGTTGGAATAATCGATGTTGACATTAGTAAATTGAAAGATTCAAATATTTTATTCTTTCGGCTTAAGGAATGATTTATCAGGATTTTATTTTCCATACCCATAAGGCACTGCCAAGATACGAAAACATAATTCTGTAACAAAGTCGCTAGTTGTTGAAGAATTTAATTAGTTCTCAGTCTAGGAATTAGAATTGAAGAAAAAAAAATCGAACTGTCGTTTGTCATAATGCAATATGCTCTACACTTTTTGATGCGGTTCCGGTTGGATGTGATCTATTAAAATTAGAACATTTCTAATTTCCGAGTCAAAATTGACTGAGCTATAACTTCGAGTACTCTGATAAATACTATCTAAGTGTGCCTTCGATTTGAGTTAATTTTGTGAAACGATTAACAAAGCACCACGCCTCAATGTCTTGCTTATCCCGGTATTAAACATTTGCTTGTTGATAGAAGAATACATTTAAACATTAGTTAATTATGAGCATTTAAGGCGAATGAACGTAACGAAGTCTAATTAGTCAATTAGGAATGTTCAATTTTGCATCCTGGATTTCATAGTGAAAAGAAATACACTTGGAAGTACTGCACTGGATTTGGATAAAATTGTCACATTAGTTTACTGCTGTACCAAATACGAAAAAGCTTTGTTGTTTTTGAAAATCAGTTTAGTGGCGGCGGAGCTAGGGGAAAACATGAAGGAAATGTGATGTCCATCTTGAAAAACCTTGTAACTAAATTCCGACGATCTGTTTGGCTGTATGTTGGTCTGCTCACAAATCCTTGACGGAAAAATTTGTATTTTTTTAGAAATCGGTGTAGTGGCGGCGGAACTATGGACAAAAACGAAAAAAACAATTAAAATCGCTCAAATTTTATTTTTTGACGTTTCATAAGACCCTGATAATTTCCAGGAAAATTTTTAGAAAGACATATTTCCTCATAAATTTTGTACTTAAAACTTGGGATGATAGGGAAATGCTTCCGATACTAATCTCTCCTTCTGCTGTCTGGGGCGTGTCGGTTCTGGTAAGTGTTCTGCCACTACTGGTATGGCAGGGAAGGAATGTCGATACATTTATTGTGTAGGCCTGTTTGACTGACTTGATCCGTTTAATTTCCCTGTTATGCATGTTCGTAACTAACTGTTTTTTTCCTACGCCACTGAAGGTACTGGTAAACAGTTAGATATTATGCTTTTGGATGGTATATGTCATGAACATCACGAAAAACCATGTCACTCATTTACGTCAGCCTGTCTGCAAATTTTGGGTAAGTCTATAACTCTGTAAGTACTGCTCGGATTTAGATGAAATTTGCTTTGTAGTATTTGAAAATCGGTCCAGTCGCGGCGGAGAAAATTTCCAGAAACTTCGACGTTTGAGAGGATCCTGACCATTTTTGATAAATTTGTTAGATGGTTGTATGGGGCGATGAAAAGTGTAACGCAAATTTGATATACTACTATACATAATACATTTCCAACACCGGTAATACTAAGCACCTATTAGATATTAGATTTGCCCTTTAAACTTGGAAAACTATTTTCTATCTATTCTTTCTATCTATCGCTATCCAATATACGTGGGGACCTACAATGCATCGGGGGTAATGTAGTAGTTGTGGTTTCTAGTGTATGGTGCAGATTACAATTCTTCCGTCCTAATGAGTGAGTACTGGAGTTTTGTTAGAGGTATACTTCTAATTCCCAAACTTCTCCCTCAACTCCCACAGTTCAATAATTCAAATCCAGGAACTTCGGCATTTCTCTGGCACAAACAAGCTCATAGAACAGCAAAATTGACTCCATTTTTCAATAGCTCAACTCTCGCAGTGTTTGTTGTTCAGTTCACTAATTTTGTATCAATTGTGGCACATTAAGGTTCCACGAACTCCTTCTGCAGAACTAGAACATCCTTGGCATCTGTTCCTAGCAGATAAGTCGGATCTCCCAACTCCTCGCTTCCTGAGGAGCAACTTCCACCTTTTGCTCGAGGTGATCCCACAGCTCCGTAATGGTTGATGATTCTTCGGTCATTCTCTCCAGCCTGAAAGAGGTAGAACTCCCTACCTCAACTCCCGTGTCTGGGGAGTTTATCCCTTTTTCGAAATTGAAACTTCCGGGTAGGTACAACAGCTTGTCCCCTTCTCTCCTCAATTTTATTACCCTTCAGGTCGTATACCTTTTCAGGTTCCAAAGCCATTTTTAGGTATGGAAAGCCAACCCGCCAACTCCATCAACTCGGCGGATCGTCCATCGCATGCTACTATACGCGGTACGACACAGAGATCAAACACCGTGCCATGCTCAGCTTCTGCAAATGGAGATGGCGGTAAATCCGATGCCCCCCAAGACATATTCTGGGGGCTCGTCAGCCTCAACCACAGTACCCCGAAACAGACCAGTCCAGCCAACGTACAACTGTCCCTATGGACGGCAGTTCACTACCAACAAAGGCCTACAAAATCACCATAGAAGCTGCCCCCAGATCCCCCCACAGACATCCACAGGGACCTCAGATCCTAATGGATTGGCATAAGCGAAGCTTATGTGATATGATATTCCAATCATATCCTGGCACAAAGCTGCGCTCAAAGAATGCCCATCCTACCGAGTACAACAGGGAGTTGGCAGAAAGTGCGCCTCATTCGGAAGCAGATGTTTTCTTCAGGCTTGCCAACATCGAAGCCAATCTGCTTCTGGACCAGAATATTTCTTGCAAAATGCGGTGGGGGCAACAGGGATGACCAGATATCAAATCCGTCATCGAAGGGACAAGCCCATCTACAAGGGGTACCTCGCCAAAGAAGAGGCTCGCAGCTAGCAAGGAGTTGGGTTTGCCACCAGATTAGCAGACTCCAATAAGCTAGTCGTCCAGTTAACGATGGGGATCCGACACCAACAGGCTAAAACAAGGAGTTCAGCTGCAAGCGAGCTACTGGCTGTGGGCGAAGGAAGTTTCATGCTATTCTTTGCAATAGGGAGACCGAGGCCCAACATCGTGCCACGGCGAAAATGTTGCACCACTACGGTAGAATCAAGCCAACGCAACGAATGTAGTGGGTCTTTGCGGATCGTTACCCTTCCCACGGAGTAACTCCAGGAAACTTCCCAAAGACAGCACATCACCACCAATGAATCAGAGCCGCCTGCGCACTCACTAGGGGCCGTATCGTCAGTCGTTCCTACAATTGTAGGACGCATTTATTTAAGTTTCATCAGCCTGAAATTTATTTAAATTCAAAAAGAAAACATTACCTCAAAACAGAGCACTGATATGGAACAGTAGAAATCTAGAAATTTCCCTACCTTTCTGGAGGACAGGAAAAACAATCAAGGAGGCCATAAAGGCGTCCTACAAATTTAGGAGCGACTGACGATACAGCACTAAGTCGCATGTCGTACACACGTCTCAGCAGGCTGGACCATCCGGATGAATCATGAAAAAGGTTCATCTACTTCCATCATTATGCGCAATAGTTTATCAGAATCACCTATTGGAAACAGAATCACTCCTTCCATCCATCATCTCATAGTCCATCGTCAACTACAACAGGCATTGCGACAGATAGACATGACTTGCTGACTCATACTCAAGACCCCTGGGGAAGGGGGGGGATTACTGCAAGACAGCCTGCCCGAATTCTACCTACCTATTATTCATATTTCACACATTATAGGTTTAACCGTACATTTGTCTTTAAAACTGTTTTCGATACGCGTCTCCTTCAGCAATCTGGGCCCAGTGCTCGGCGTAACGGTCAGCTTGATTGTTGTTGGTACTGCAGAGGTGCTTCAGGGGGTGCCAGCCTTGGCACGTACAAGCACGTCCAAATAATCGTACATTATCGTACACAGTGCGGCAGGTCCCAGAATTCATAATCAGGCAGGCTATTTCCGTCACGCTCTGTTGTTTATGCAAACAGTCTATTGGTGTCAAATGAAGAGCACTACTCCCGTTGCACACGTAACACTACTTCGAGAATGAACAACATAGGCTATATAGACAATTTTAATTGGTATTAAAAAAAGCTCAATCACAAAATTATTGTATATTTAGTCATTATCATACACTTAGTATCGTACATCGTACAGTGCTAGAAATTATCATACAAATCCAATAATTATCGCACGCCTGGCAACGCTGCCAAGTCTGACGGTATCGGAAGTGGGAATGTTGCCAGACGGGCATAACTACCGGTTAGGCAGGGAAATGATGTTAATGGACTAATTGTATGGGCCTGTTTGACTGACTTGATCCATTAAATTTTCCTATTTTGTATACCAAAGCAGCCGCGCAGTCAGAAGTCTAAACATCGGAGCACCGCGGCTGCTATTAGGAGCTTAAAGAAACTGTGTTAATCCGATGTTTGATCTGCCTACGGCTAGTAGGGAAAAGCCTCCTTAATATCGACACACTAGGAACAAAGGAGTGGACGGTTCGGCCAGTTCTGGATGTGCGAAGTTCGACACGGTTAGGATGAGAGGCCAAAGTCAGGTACGGGTATTATGTAAAAAAACCAATAAAATGTCCTCTTGCAGACTAGGTAATTTTTAGTAACAGTAGTTCCACGTTTGCTCACTAGGATCGTTGTAAGCGTTCATCTATGGGGGAATAGCTCAACTTCACGCATTGTTGGTTGCATATGTTTTGTGAAGCCGAGTTAGTCTATAGCTCTCATCTCTGAGAAGAAAGTTGGTTGAATAGCAAGATCCTCAGACTAAAAATATAAATAGACTTACCATTCTTACGGCACTGTAATGTATGAAGACAAACAAACCCAATTCAAATAAATACAAACAATAAGCTGTGTATGTGCAGACCACAGCTGATTCATCCAGTGGCGTAGGTGCTTTTTTTGTAATGGTGTTCTGGTTAATACACCCAGTATCACCTTCCATGGTTGTGAAAAGAATAAACACAGAGAAGTAAACAAGGTTTTATTATTGGATCTTAATTATCAGGTTTATTGTTTCATAATACCTAGTACAAAGGTATATAAACAAAAGAGAGAGTATTATGTAAATAATAAGAATTGAGTAGAAAATTTCCTGTCCAGAGTATGAATACCAAAAAAATAGTAAGAAAATGATAGTAACCATGATCAAAAGTTGTATATAAAAAATATATATAAACAAACAGAAAAAGAATAAATAATTGACGCATCAATTTAAATATTCTGTCTTGATATTGAAGGCACAAAAAAACTATTCATTCCTTAAGCAAGATCTTAGCTTAAATAGTTCCCTAAAGTATTTAAAAAGTTTGTATCATAAATTCAACTCATTCGTTTTATTTACGCAAGCAAAGACACAGATTTGGTTCAAACGATCTGACAGAATATGCTCTCTCAATGGATTGTATAATGGACATTCCAGGAGGAGATGTCCTAAAGATTCGGTCTTTCGAGTATTACATATTGTACAATAGTCTGTTTGGTCAACCCTGTATGAAATATTGTTTAGGAAGATTTTGAGACTACATTTATTGTGGAGCTTAAGTTGGATTATAAATCGTTTTATACATAATGGTATACTTGGGGATTTAGCGTACTCTGTAGACTCTGATAGCCATTTTAGCCATTTAGCGCGTCAAAAAGTTCTTGTATTGATATATGCTGATCCAGATATGGATGTAAAACATCTAAAAAGCTAAAGGCAACATTGGGGGTAGGTTTATACATTATTTTATAGTAGTCAATCCATGTTTGGAGGTTTATTTTATTTGGTTTAGTGCATATTTCAGTAAAACAATTCCTTTGGACTTGTCACTCTGCATAAGTCATTATTTATAATTCATTTTATAATTTTGCTTTGTATTTTTTTTGTAATTATCAGGTTTTATTGATTTTGATATAATATACTTTTTGTGAGTAATGATCGTACACGTTTTGAAGGGGCATTCAAGTTAGAGGTATAATGGTACAACTTAATGGGAAAATGTTGTTCTAAAACTTGTTTATAGAGCAATGAAAAATGATTACTTAAAGGTCCATCTTCGAATACATGGTCCTTAAACACATTTCCGAATCCAAGAGGTAAATTTTGCGATGTATAATTTGTTAATATTTGTAAAACTCTTCGTCATATTTTTTTGCCAACTTCTAACCTTTCCTTATATAACCTAAAGCAATGTTCTCCATATTTACACACATTTATTACAAAAGCGGAGGCTAATTTTCCATACGTTTTTCTTATTTGTAATTTCGATATAGACTCTCCTGAAGTTTCTAACAAATCTAAACAACTCTGGCATTTTATAGACTTTTTTAGCCTCTTCACAACAAAACCGGCAACATATGCAACAACATCTTCCAGATACAGTGTAAGCTGCCAAGGACTTATTCGAAGAAAGTTTTTAAATTGTATAAAATCTTCATCTTCGTCTATACTGTTTGATGATGAGGTCATATCCTCACTAATTTTGATCTCTAAAGATGATGATGAACAGTGCAAAATGGATGTGCTATCTAATGCCACGACATTGGATGCTTCATTGCCACATATTTCAGTATGAAGTAATAATTTTTTTAAAATATTCTGAAACTGCTTCGAGGTAGGATTATTGCTGTATCCTCCTTTGCTTCTTATACAACTGAAGAAAATTTCCAAATGATCTTGAGATAACTAGAGAAGGTACTTCAGCTCTTTGGTTTCTTTGACTCTATATTCATACAGGCCCTTTAAACTGTTTATTGAAATTATGAGTCCCAAAAATCCTAATTTTCTTCTAGAGTATAACTCTAGTGTCTCCTAATTTTAACGATTTCAAATAATCCTTCGCTTCTTCTAAGCAATTGAAATATTGTTCAGTAGCAGGTGACAACGGTTTCTCATAAGGTTTTTTTGACATCCTATTCCTTGAATTAAAAACATCAAATAAATTGTTTACTGTTCTACAAAAATATGCTGTAGCTTCTGAATGCTTGAAGTCAGCCATAGCCAGATCTTTGTTCAAAAAGTCCAATGCTTCTGCAACACTCTTGCTCAAAGTCTGGACGGCAAGTTTAACTTTCATCTTTTCATTCACCCATTGGAGATGTTTTTTCCTCAACTTTGTTGCCGCATGCATTCCAGTATCTTCTTGCAACTTAGCTATCTTTTCTAAGAAGGTCCATTGGATTGTTTCTTCATTTCCATCAGTCAGAATTTTGAATGTCCCAAAGCAGTTTCTTATCAATTTAACCATATGGCAAGCATCAAAAAATATAAAGACAGGGAATTTTGTGATTGGCTGCAAAAAGTAAGATTTGAAGTCGCCTTCCACGTTAAAATTTGCTCCCAACACGTTGCACATCGCAACATTTGAGGGCGCTCCATCAAATGTATAGTAATTGATGTAACTGTGACACCTGATGAGTGGACGAACTCTAAACAGTGCTCTAAAAGATTGGCTTTTTCTGCGCCAGTGAGTCCATTAATGAGAAAATAGCCAACTGGTATCTTCCAAGAACAATTCAGTGCAACTAGCATGAACACTAGCGCCTCTCTTGCCTCTTCGACAGTGTCTCCAGTGTCACCTGCATCACCAATGCCTAGGTCCACGTATCCGTACGTTCGCTTCCCATCCCACTCTACTTTCTTCATTATGCACATTTCGTCAAAAACTAGATTGCAGAGGATCTCTTTTTCTTGGTTTCTGGCTTCTGTGACTTTTATTTTCAGTGCTTGTAAAGCCCCTGTCAAAAATCCGGGAGACCCATTAACTGTTGCATACCACTTAGTTATGGTACTGGTGTGGGGTAATATTTTATTCAATTTTGTTCGTACATAGTTGTACGCCTTTTTTGAATAAAAGTGTAAAGTTAGCGCAAAACGACGCAGTTCTGCACTATATTTTTCTTTTTTTCGGCCTCTTTGAATTTTGTTGAAAATGTCTTCTGCAATGGAGCCCTGAGAAATGAGGATTTTTAACAACAATCAAAAAATAAACATGTAATCACTTACATCAAGTATGTGTTGCGCATTCTCCGATATCACATTTATTCGCTTCAAATGGTTTGTCAATGCTTGAAGAGGCCAAATTTTGTTTGCTTGTCTTCTTCATTTGGCTAGTAAACAGTCAATTGTCTTTCTTTGTTTCTTATACGTGTTTTGAATGACTTTCCAGCAAATTGGCCTTTTAAGTGGGTTTTCCAAATCAGTATAACGTATATCGCCGAAGTATCGAATAGGTTTTGTTTTCATTCTGAAAGCTTAAATGCTACTATAAAGCAAACGCCAAATCTACATAAACGTCACCTTTTATCAAATCTTTACTTCAGGTTTAATTACCACCAGACTATACTTGAAGAATCAAAATAAAAGCTTAATACCTTTTCCGTGGAGGTTCACCATCACTATCATTTTCTTTGAGGTTATCTTCCTCATTGTCACCTTTTGCTTCTATGAATGTGTTTAAAATCCTGAAATAATGAAAATACAATGCACCAAAATAAAGACTGATATTAGCTGGCTGAACTTGAAAATAAAAGTAGATAGGTACGTACATCATATCTAATTCTGAGGCATGGGTACGGGACTGTGGTGTCACTGGGATACTTCCAGAACCTGATTGTGGAGCACTTAATGTATCGGATTCAGATAATTACTGGGTACCTGACAGCGAAGCTGATAGGATGCTACTATCTGTTGTTCGATCTTGTTCAGGAAAACTGTATTCACATACTTACCATTTCTGTTGCTACTTCTGGTGACTTTATTTGTTCTCTGTAAACACTTGCTACTTCTGGTGACTTTATTTGTTCTCTGTAAACACTTCAATAGTCAAACTTCTAGATACTTAGGAGATTATTTAATTTCATACCTAGGTAGATCCCTGCTTTCCAGTTGTTCACTATTTGAAATGGCTTAGGGCAATTTCCTGGGCAAGATTGATTTCATTCTCCTCATCACTGGAATCACTTTAAAATAGATAAGTAAAAGTATAGCAACAAAATATTCCATTTCATCCAATAGCTAAATATAATTAAGGACTTACTCTGTTTGCCTCAAAGGCTCTACTGATGGAACTGCTGAATGCTTTTGTTGAGTTCTTTTGCCTTCTATTAAATCACTTTTGTGAAAATGATTTGTGCAAATAAAGGCATGAAGTGGTAAATCATTTATGTCAATATTGAGGATAGTGCACCATTCTTCTTGTTTTTTCTTATCACTAGGAAACCTGAAAGATCAAAAACGTGTCTAACAGAAGAGTATTTTTTGAAAATCACCACACATACAGTGTAAAAACAACCAATAACTATAAAATGTCTATTTCTTAATACTAAAAATCACAACGCATCCCCATGCGCTACGCCCTTGTCCTCCTCTAACCTCTAACTCACCTGTGGAAGGTTGCCGCAGTTTTTTCACTGCTAACTCCACAAAGAATGCACTTCCGACGTCCCATTGTCTTTGAAAATTGTCTATCAATGATAACAATGCTATAATTGCCGCTAAAACAACCTGAAAACACTTTTGAATACTCGCAACAAATTCACTGTGCACCATAACAAAGACCAGATGCAGTGTTGCCAGAGCGAAGTTTAAAATATCCGTCACACGTATCGCAAAATTCCGCTACATGCCGCTACGGTCTAAAAATGTAAGGGGGGGGGGAGGCTTAAAATAAACAACAAATATATTTTTTACATATTTACTTTTTTTAAACACTGTATAAAAACCCTACTAAAAATACAAACAGTAACATAATATAATTGCAATTTTTCGTAAAAACATAAAAAGTATACCTCTAAAAACACAAAACTGTCTTTGGTTTAGAATTAGGAACTAATAAAAAAATAGAAACTATCACCAATATCTTAATCTTAATAGAAAAAAAAAACAAAAAATAAGGACAAAGAAGAAGCGCAAACGTGGAAATGCCTACGTTTGCTTATTTTATTCTCAGTGAGAATCAGAAATTACTTCTTCTTCAGCTTGTTCTTCCTTATTTACATTATATAAATTATTTTTATATTTGTTTAAATGATTCTCATTAAAACTATAGGATAAACAGCACTTTTTTTTTGATTCCAAGTCTAATTTAATTGTAAGTAGTGCAGACAAAGTTGATGGTATTATTTTATTTCTTTTTTTTGTTTTGTAATCAAGCATATAAAAAAAAGTTCGCTCAACATCAGCGTTTCCATGAGGCAATGTTAAAATGATTAGAGCCAGTTTACCTATATTGCGAAATAAATATTCGTCATTAAAATTTTTGAGGTCGTTTACAAACGACCAAAATTCAATGACATTACTTTTTGTTTTTAAAATTTCCTCTTTCTCACTATCACTAAAATACATAAATATTTTCTTTAGTTCCAAAATTGCCTTTTCGGTTTCAATATGAAGGGCAAATTTTTTTAAAACGGCGTCATGAAAGGTATCACTTATAATAAGATGATTGTTCTTCACATCAACCAGTGAGAGAAACTTTAGCTCTGAAAAGAAGTTGTCTATGATAGGAAATCTTTTAAGGGACTCTTCTACCGATTTTTGGTAAAATGTGACACATTTTAATTTAAATTGTTCGATTGCCGTGTTATTGCAGTGTTTTATTGCATCCATTGTATGCGGACCAACATTCACTTGTTCAATTGGTAATAAGCAGTGGGGATCATTAGGATTTAGATTATATAATTTCTCATTTTTAAAATATTCTGGTCGCATAAAGTTTGTACATAGATGACGTACAAATCGCTCACTCTCTATTGATATGATATTGAGCATAACTTTCTCTGATTGAAAGAGAGCATTAAATTGGTTAAAAATGGGCAACACGAATTTGAAAAACATTAAATACGCCTTAACAAATGGATTCTGTAACTCATTAAGTATTACATTTGCTACAGGATTTTTGTCTTCAATGGAAGCTAATCTAAATAGGCTAAGCAAGATGTCCCCCCACTGATCCAAAACTCTATCAACACATTTGGATAAAACAAGCCACCTTGTTTTACTAGGGCTTAAAATTTTTAATTTTGACTTTTTGAAATATTTCTGTAATTCTTCAAGAACACACGCCTTTTTGGGCTTCTTGAGAAGTAAGAATATAAGTTTTGTAAAAGAGCTTCAACGTTGCTTGGAATCTTTTCAGCTGCCGCCACCGCCACTAAATGAGCAGAGTGGCAAATGCAGCCATTGACAATTATATTAGGATTATCTTTTAAAAGATAAGTTTTGAAAGATTCGGTATTGCCCGTCATAATACTAGCGTTGTCGGAACAGTATCCAACAATATTGGTAATTTTTACTTGATTGGATATAACGCATTTTTTAAAAAGAGAATATTAACCTTTGGCGGTACCTTCATCTGCGTTTATTTTAATTATATCTAATAAATGGGTTTTAATTGAATTTTTATGAATATACCTTACAAGAATGCATAGTAGTCTTGTATTGCTCAGGTCTGTACTCTCATCCAATAAAATAGAAAATGGTTTATTTTCCAATTCTGAAATTATTTCGTCTTTAATAACAGGAGCCAGCACATTTTTAATTATACTTATGCATTTGGATCTTTTTAATTTAAGTGAGTTAGAGAGATCTGGGTCTTTAAAACATAATTGACTAACTCCTGTTATATGATCAACAGTTCTAAAACTTATATAATGACTTACAACTAAAAGACTATATCTTAAGCAAGCAAATATTTGCCGTTTTTCCAACTCACGTGCTTCCCGAGACTGAAAAGTGCTATCTAACGTTCTTACATTCGAAATTGCTTGTACATTAGTGGCATGCCTTTTTGATTTCGAATGATTCACTAAATCTGATTTTTTAGCACCCATTATTTGATTACAAGCTTTACATTTTGCTTTCAACTTGTCATTCTCAATAGGTCCCAACCAGCCTTTAAATAACGGATCTTCTAGCCATGATGAAGTAAACATTTGTTTTCGTGTCTTTTTTCTTAACAGGTTGCTCTGGCTCTTGGTTATCCTGAGATTCGCAAGTCGAATTATCAGGCTCAGACCTGATTCCACTAGATTCCGCTCTTCTATTTTGTCTGTATTCAGGTTCGGGATGCTCCGAGTCCGACACAGATGCAGTCGAAGTGGATGGTACGGCCACGTTTGGTTTCACCGTTTGTTTTTTAGAAGGATTTTTATCAAAAAAATCGTTAATGGTCTGCTGCCGCCTTTCCATTATTCCTATTTTCCAGAAGAAAAAGCGTTAAAAACAAATTTAGCGACTAAGATTTATTTCTGGATCAAACTATAATATGTTAGATATTTAAGGAGTTTTGTTACTTACCAGTAGATTTAATATTAAAATCTGCAGCAAATGATATATCAATAAAATGATCAACACAAAAATAAGAACACTAATATAAACGAAACTAAACAGTATATACCCAGAGCTGAAAAATACAATACAAAGCGAGAAACCTAATATTATGTCTGCCTGCTGAGACCTGTTAGAAACGATTAGTATTGAAAGCAGTACGTACGCCATCTGTTATTGAAAAAAAAGGCAAGTGGAATAATTCTCTTCTCTGTTCCTAGATGGCTCAAGCGGCACCAAATGCACCAATTTTATTATTAATGTGATAATAAATCAGACTCTAGCCACTGCCTATTTAGGTTTTAGAACGTTATTAACGTTAAAACAGTGAAATAAATATGATAGTTTTGTATGTAATAAATTCCGCTACATTTTGGGCTAATTTGCTCTACCGCCGCTACGCCGCTCTTCTCAAAATAATCCGCTACAAATAGCGGAATTCCGCTACGTATGGCAACACTGACCAGATGTTTGTAAATTCTGTGTATGCATCCACCACTTGCCGTTGAACACCGTTGCCACGTTCGGCAAAAAGTCGGTAGAAATGTGCTTTTTTTTTTCGTCCAAGGTGGAACAAATCCAGTCAAACAACTGACTGGGCAAAATATTATATGTAATGTTCGCTGTGAATTACCCAATACGAACCTGCAGCCGTTTTGAATTGAATTTACGGCGTGTCGGCCACCTCTGTGACCGTTTTTGCGAGTATAAACAAATATGAAAAGAAAAAATAAATTTTTAAAATTTAAACTGACGTTGACAACTGCCTAGGAGCAGTTCACCTTCATTTCGGGCGGAGTGCACACCAATATCTCATTCCATTTTCAATAGATTTTTCAGTATGGAGAAGTGGCAGCGTCGCATATATTTGTTTACCGTAAATACAGTTATGTTGACGACGATATTTTGTTTAGAATTATTTGTCAACGCCAAACAAAGTGGCGTGCACGTCATCACGATAAAAATTCCCCGACCTAATGCCTAGGTTTCTATCACAAACAATTGCTCTATTGCAGTTTCATATTAATGTGATATATAAATTGTAAAATGGTCATTACTCTCTTATTATGGTTAATAGTCATATAAACATTGTTATTAAAATATCACATAAGTTGCTTTCTGATAAATTTAGACGCATTATGCGAAATAAAATGTTTTGCAAACGCTCCAATCACTTATCGACATGTAAACGCACTAAACCGATTTCGCAGCGTTGACACATTGTCACCTTGAAACTTATTTAAACTGCGAACTGACATTTGTATTAATTTTGACACTGAATCAATTTGTGGCATTTCAAATCTTTATAAATCCTTTGGCCCCGCATACTGTAAATCAACAACTGTTTGTTTCAAAACAAAATTATTCATTTTACGAGTAGATAAAGGCAATTTTGGTATATAAAGATGCCCAAACAGTTAAATAGTCGGTGTAAGGAACCCGTGGCCTCGTTAACGCACTACTTTGAGCAAGAAAGGGACAACGACGGGCCTTTGTTGCCTTTAAATGCTGTTCAAGAGGTAGGTTACTAATAATTATATGTAATGTATATTAATAATAGTGAAATTTTATTTCATTTTTTGTAGCGTGTTGCTGCTGCTTTAAAAATTAGTTTAAGGACAGTTAGTCGTATTTCCGAGGGTGTGAAAAGTGATGCAAATTTAGAATCGCCCAAGAAAAAGCGGAGTTATATTAAACGTGTAACCAACACAGCGACATTGGATGCAAGTGCCATTCGAGAAGTGATCTATAATATGTATCACAAAAGTAAGATCTTATTATAATAACTTATCAGAAATTTGCATTAATTTGTTAACTAAATTATAATGTCATATTACACATGGTTTCAGAAGAACAAGTTACGATACAAACTTTATGGTCTCGATTAAGAGATAGGGCATTATTTGATGGTAGTGCCACGTCTTTAAGGCGGTTGCTTAGAGATCTTGGATTTAAGTGGCTTAAGGACAATCCGCGACGAGGGCTCATGGAACTACCAAGTATAGCTTTGAAAAGGGTGGAATTTCTAAGGCAATACAATCAAGCCAAGGTTGAGGCCTTATACCAGTTTGTCTTCCTCGATGAAACTTGGATATTTCAAAATGGGACCATAGGTCGCTCTTGGCAAAAGGGAAACCAAAAAAGCGTGAAAGCTATTAAGACAGATGGTAAAAGGTATGTACTTTTACACAATTTGCACTATAAAATTTAAAACTAATATATTTTAGATACATTATATTACATGCTGGAAATGAAAATGGGTTTATTGAGGGTAGTGAAGCGATATTTTCTTCGAAAACAAAATTGAGCGATTACCATGGAGAGATGAACCAGGACAATTTTTTGAAATGGTTTCAACATCAGTTATTAGAAAAATTGGAGAGTCCATCTATGATTATACTGGATAACGCCCCTTATCACAGCATGATATTGAACAAAGTGCCCAACAATGCATGGACAAAAAAAATATCCAAGACTGGTTGACAAATCAAAACATACCATTTTTAAACACAATGTTTAAAACAGAGCTATTGAGTATTGTTGCTCGGTACATAATGCTTCTTAATTATATATATTTTGGTCGACAGTTTATATTTCTTTTGTTTATTCCTATTCTTAAAATAACTGCTTTTTTAGAAACAAACCACCTAAAATATACGTGATTGATGAATTGGCGGAACAACATGGGCACAAAGTTCTTCGTCTGCCTCCTTACCATTGTATATTTAACCCTATTGAGTTAATTTGGGGCATAGCAAAAGGTTACTATAACAGACATATTGGTAGAGATGGTAACAGTGAAAAAGACTGTTTGGATATGTGGAACGAGGCTCTACAAACGGTTACCCCAGACATGTGGAAAAATAGTGTTCGACATACTGAGCAAGAAATTTTTAAATGGTATGAAAGAGAACGAATTTTTGATCGACCAGACATCGAACCTTTAATAATCAACTTTGAGAGTGATGAAGATTCAGATTCAGACAGCGCTGAAGAAAGAAACTCCGACTAACTTTATTGTACAGAAAAAGCTTACACCAGTAGCTTGCCTAATTTTAGAATGCATTTTTCTGTATGAATTCTGTAAAATAAATACCATGCATAAAATTTGGAGGACCCCATTTGGATTTTTATTCAGTACCTTTAAGCTATCAATTAAATATGGTAGTTTCATAGTGTCATCTGATCAATAATTGTCATACTTAATGATTATGAAAGTACAGATCTATAATTTTATTATACTATTATTTTTGTTCTCATTTGAGGTTAATATTGCTTATAAACCTAGATATGTAAATAATAAATTTTATTATTTACAAAAAGTTTGGCAACAATGTAAATTTTTCAACACACCCACCTTGATGACGTGCACGCCACTTTGTTTGGCGTTGACTATACTTATATTTTTAGTCTGAGGCAAGATCGCATCTGTATAATTGTGTATATTGGTCTGCATGTGTATAATATTTGTGATATTTGCTGTGTGAGAAAATCATTGCTGCCAATGAAGTATATCTATTAGTTGTTCCCGACGGATTATTTATACAGGGTGACTTTGAAGTTGAGTCATTAATTTTCAGATAATGATTGTAGAAGGAAGATAAACCAAAATATGTGTGTAAAAATAAAAAAAAATTAAAAAAATGTTACCTTATTTTATAAAGTATCCTCCCGACAAGTATTTCAGTGCGGACCTGTATTTGATCGTGAGGTCTTAAGTCACCTTTGTACTACATTAACAAAGGCACGAGGGGTTGGTTGCACTCGATTGGGAAACCGATCCGCATAAAGACTCCCCTCCCGTAAATAAGAATCATGTCCACAAGTTCAGCATTTTCGTAAACATGTGCCATTTTTGATTTCGTTTGAGCCACGCAACAGACACCACTATTCACTCACGCGTTACCGACTGACACTGACTGTATATAACTGAATAAAATAATTGTAAAAACATCGTTCCAAATTCTTTCGCTTTTTTGTTTCCGACGCGATGAACCGATAAGGCGGATTATATCCGTTGTTGCCAAACACGAGCACATAATATTATTATTGAGACAGGGCGGTACTCAAACTTCCAAAGGGCTATAACTTTGTTACTTTAATTTTACCAGAAAAATGGTAAAGGAAAAAACATTTCTTTTGATCAGATCTACTCACTGTTAAAATAAATGACTCAACTTCGAAGTCACCCTGTATGTTGTCCTTTTTGTTAGTACTTTATTTCTATGAATCTAGATTTACTTTACTATAATCATGTATTGTATGAAATATGTTTAACACTGGCAACGTCGCGGCCAGTCAAGATGGAAGAAAAAACAAAAAAGACGTTGCTCCCGAAATGTCAAGTTTGTCAACAAAATAAAATAAACCCGATTTGTTCACGAAATCTCGGGGTGTCTTTTCAATCAACTGTGTGCGAAAATACCCAATCACTTGAAGACCGGTTATGTTCAAAGTTATAAATTACGATTTTCTACGTTTTTTTGTGTTTTCAAAAACTTTGAGGATAATTACGGGAAATCACCATCGCGCCCGCGTTGTGTGTAATTACTGTTAGGATATATATGACTTATAATTCGACAGTGTACAGTGAATATAGTTATTTCTTATCACTCTCATTTTTGATATTCAGCGAATTTGCATACTATGTAATTTCCAGAAAGGATAAGAAAAAGTGGATGCGAAACCAATTTCTAGCTTTGAATCTAAATTAAGTGTATTTAAGACAAGAATCCAATGGAATTATCATCAACACATATATTAGCACACAATTCCTCACTATGGCATTGCCGTGATCTCCAGTAATGCCATCTCTGAAGAAGATTTTACATCACATCAGAGCTAAACATTGATAACTGAAGCCTCATGAGGTTTAGGTAACACGTAGATTTACAAAACGAGTTCACAACGTGTCCATCTGCTAGTGCTAAGTTAACATCTTTTAGAAAAACCTACATATTGACACAAAAGTACATAGAGCAGACTGAATATAACATAAAAAAAGATCCAAATCAGTTTTGGTCCTTCATCAAAAGTAAAAGGCACAGTGGCCTTTCACCTTCTGAATTCACTCACAATGACTGTGTTTTCAATAACCCTGTTGATATAGCAAATGCCTTCGCTAATTTTTTCCAGTCTGTGTATTCTACCCCCAATGTAGCAGCTAGGCCAGATGATGATATTATTGCTACAAACAATATTGTGTTGAATAGCTTCACAGAAAAGGAGGTTCTCATGGCATTAAAGAAAATAAAAAACAAGTTCACTAGTGGACCTGATGGTATACCTGCATTCTTAATCCGTGATTGTGCACCTATTCATGCTGCACCTTTAACTAAAATCTATAACCTAAGTATCAGATCACATACATTTCCTGAGATTTGGCGTGAAGCCAAGGTTCGACCTATCCATAACAATGGAAGCCGTAAATTAATTGAAAACCATAGGCCTATCACTATTGTGAGTAATTTTTCGAAAACGTTTGAAATGTTATTACATAATTTCATTCAATACAACGTAAGTTCTTAAATTTCTACAGCACAACATGGATTTGTAAAAGGAAGGTCGACAACAACAAACTTAGTCTGTTTAACTCAATTCCTAGCAGGTGTTTTAGATTCTAATGGTCAGGTTGATGTGCTATATACTGATTTCAGTAAAGCGTTTGATAGAGTCGATCATGGTTTACTACTGGGAAAACTAAATAGCATTGGCTTATCCAAAAATTTGGTATTATTATTTCAGTCGTATTTGTCTGATCGTAAACTATATGTGGATTTTAACGGTAAATCAATTTACTTTTTTCCATCTACTGGCGTCCCACAAGGATCTTCCTTAGGTCCACTACTATTCGTCATTTTTATTAATATTAATATTATTAATACGATTGACTGCAATATTCTGCTCTACGCGGACGACGTAAAACGGTACTGGCAAATTGATGATCCATCTAGTTGCTTTTATTTACAAAGGAATCTTGACAGACTGTCTGAGTGGTGTGCTGCTAATAAACTTCCTATCAACGTGAGCAAATGTAAATCTTTAACTTTCACTAGGAGAGTAAATTCAATTACCAATAGTTATAAAATTAACAACACTCCTCTTCAGACTTTAGAGGAGTTCAGGGACCTAGGAGTAATATTTGACAGGACATTGAGCTTCAGTGCACACCTAACTAATTTAGTGAATTCTGCCAACAAAGCACTGGGATTCGTTATACGCAATTCAAGAGAGTTTATTGGTACCACAGCACCTACAGTGCTGTACAATTCGTTTGTTCTTTCTAAGCTGGAATACGGAAGAATAATCTGGAACCCATGCTATGTTACCTCATGTGACTCATTGGAAAAAATTCAGAGGAAGTTCTTGAAGTATTTATCTCTCAAAACTGATGGTGTTTATCCTTCCATAGGGATTTCACAAAATAACTTACTTCAAAAGCATAGGTTTCTCAGCCTTGATGATAGAAGGAAGATACAATCTTCAGTCTTTTTGTTCAAAGTTATAAATTACCAACATGACTGTCCATCATTTTTGTCTATGCTAAATTTCAATACACCTAGAGTACGAACAAGGGCCAACCATGCCTTTTACCTACCTACCCCACGAACGAATCTACTGCTGCACTCACCGCTATATTCGATATGCTCATGTTATAATGACTATATGAATTATTTTGATATCTTCAACACATCCATTTCTATTATTAAGAGAGTATGTAAAGCGGTAGTTTTTTAGAGCTACAACAGTTTGATTGAGCTTTGATCAGTGGTAGCTTTTCATGGGTTCTTATTGGTAATTACTAAGCAATCAATGCAATTAGTTTATTTTGTGATTTTTATATATATGTACTGTATTTCCCACCAATAATTGGTTTATAAACTGTTGGTGGTGTAATTAAATAAATAAATAAATAAATAAAAAACCAATATGATGTCAAAAAGAATCGACATAATGTCACTTTTCAAGATACGTAATTCCCGTGCGGCGGGGTCTGCTTGGCAGATACATCGCGCGGCGGCATCATGAGAGAGAGGAGCAAAGTTCGCCGGCATAACGGTGGAACAAAGCTGGATCGCTGTCGGCCCGTCGGTGCAAAAGGATTCCGATACTGTAGGTTAGAGACGAGTCATCAATCAGTCGGACAGCATCCTCTGAACAGCATCTAGCATGGGTAGTGTAGTCGAGGCGGCAGCACCACAAACATGTGAGCAGGAGCAGCACCCCAGGCTAGATTTTAACATAAATGGGCCTTTTACAGAGTGAGGAGGTCTTGTGAACCAAAGTACTTATTAGCCATAAACAAATAACCCAGCTTTTTCCTCAGCAGTTGCCGCTATTGACGAGATGTATTTTTGCCATATCAATTCCTAGGTTATCCCGACTCGACCAGCCGAAACGAACGGATCTTTGGTAGAACTCGGCCACCCATCGAAATCGGGTGAGCGGCTAGGGCGCTTCTTGTTAGTCAAGGTACAGTACTGTATTTTGGAAGCAATTTTAATGATTAAACAGTGCCACATTATTGCATTACTAAGCAGTGATAACCTCCAGGTCTCTCTTCAGAGAGGAAGCCGTTGCCATTCTTCTTTTCTCCAGCTCACCGCCAGAGATCGGCTTGTTACTATGAATTCCTGCATGTAGGGCGCTGTCATCAGTAAAGCTGTGGATCTGATTGATCGTACAGCAAAAGGAGGTCGTTGATATGTAGGAGGAACCGTGTCAGAGCCAAGACCGATGCCTGGGGAAAACTCGTGTTGTCATTGTAGGATGAGAAGGAAAACCCGTCAATTACGACGGATATCTTCCGGCCAGAGATAAAGTTTGCCAAGCTTTTCTTGGAGGCTATGGATTAGAAATTTGCATAAAAGGGCAGCATTCCACAGCTGATCGAACGCTTTTGTGATATCAATGAGTTTGCGCGGCGCATGTTGTACGCACGTCTCAATAGACTCGGCTATCTCAGAGAGGTTTAACTTATATAGAACTCGATTCTTTATGAACTGATGACGGCATTGCGAAGTGCAGATTCAAACCTACTTGATGTTATTTTTTTCTCAGGGGGTCTAACTTGTGCTGAAATGATTTTTCATGAACTGAAGACAGCGTTGTGTAGAAAGTCTTGAGTCAATCTACTTTACGCCATTTTTTTCATAATCACGTTCATCTGGGTCTTGTAGGGCAAAGTTTGAACTTCAATTTAGACACGTCAAAAAATAAGGATGGTCACTTTTAGGGTTTTCAGACGTTGAGCCGCTTATAAGTGGAAAACGGTCATTTTTAGAGAAATGTTAGCACCTTTCTTTATTAACAATTATCCAGAAAACCTAAAAGCACTTTGTTAGATTAACAGTGTAATCACTACTACCATTGATTAACGTATTCCACCTGTAGAATAGGTTGATGAATGCTTCTGCTCCTAAATTTTCTATGAGCTACAAATATAACCTAAAAGACGATCGGTTATTTAGTGATAGGGTTTTTAAGATCGAATTGTTCCCACCATTTTTCCTGAATTTGACTTAAAAACTGTCTGGATTAAAGTATTTTTTGATAGATATATAGAGCTTACCACTGATTACTTGGTATACGTAAAAATATTATTTCACAAAACTATTATTAGATTTTATATTTTACATTGAATGAAGTAATGCAGTTGTTTGTGTTTGCCAAGGTCGCGTACAGTGCGGGTTGCTTTTAGATTTGTTATAACGTTACTGGTTGCTAGTTTTAGTTTATCAACAAATTCACAGACTGCAGATTAATATGGATGCGATAAACAGGGAAAGCAACATTATTACCTGTCTGTCGATCTGTTCGCTAATTTTATAACCCTCTATAACTTGAGAAGTACCGCTCGGATTTTGATGAAATTTTCACTTTAGGTTACTACTATACCAAGGATGAAAAAACTTTGTAAAAATAAAATTCGCTCAAAGTTTGTTTTGAGAGGCTCCTGATCAGTTTCCGAAATTTTTTTGTAGGGGTTGAAGCCGGGAGTTGGCGATTGTAAGGGGTAGGTGGTTGTAAATACAACGTATTTAGTATAAGTGAAAAATGTACTATTAAGGAGCTTCTAATCCCAGAAACAAATGTTCTCATAATTTGAAATAACTTGGCAATCTTTGCGCCACGTGCACGGCGCGATGCTACATCGTCGTGGAGGAATGTGCAATGGGTAATAAACTCCAACTGGTCACCGCTACAGGAGAAATATTTATATATCTTAGCAATATTTGGAGTATACCTGTAGCAGTACTTACCACTTTACCGTTCTGCGATGCTTTTTTGTGAACAGTTTCAACCGTTTTTATATCCACACATATATTTTTCTGATCTGACTGTATGATCCTTAAATGTACCACCCATTTCGTCTAACCTTTAATTTGTTTTACTCCAGCTACGATGATTCTCTGAATATTTCGTCAAGTAGATATACAGATATACAACAGGCACGTACTGACAAACCAACATGAATGAGAAGCACGGACTTGTGTGATGCAGATATCATTAAGCAACAAAAAACTTGTGAACCGAACTTCAAATATTGACGCGAGTTTAATACTTCCAGCATTTAGGTAGTCACAGATTTTGAAAATTGATTCAGAGGCGGCGGAAATAAAATTGCTGGAACATAGTGTTACAAAGAGATTCATCTTCATTCTCAGACATTGTTTCGAGGGGATCAACATTGTAGGTTGGAAGCTGTATGCGGTAAATGGTTGTAAATTGTTGCATACTTGGTTTCACTGAATGATTCTCTATTATTAAGAACCTGCTGATCTCAGTGATTCTATGCACCAGATAGGCATATTAAGACACACTTATTCTCCCTACATCTCTCATGAAAATATGATAGATTTGCTTTATATAGTTTGATATGGTCGAAGATTCATCGTATTTAAGTGAACTTACCTAATCACGATTCGATTTCGTCTCCTGAAACGATTTGACTCATCCCTTTTCTTTGAAATCTCCAAATATAAGGCATAGAACGTATAGAGTCCATCTACTTGACGCCATTTTTTAAGCGACTATTCTTCCATAATTTTAAACCTTTAATTCTTATATTTTCCATACAATACATATCTCAGTTGAGAAGAAGTCATATAATGTGCGAAATTTAGCGAGGCGGATGATGCTAAGTATCTAAGCTGCAGGGTGATCAGACCAAGGAATAAAGCGTCCGAAAAATTACACAGTCCCACAATAAAAATTAAAGTCGAGATACGTGAAACGGGCGGTGATGTTCCTATATATTTTTCGACGCTGGATTGGATCAAAATCAAGTCCGGTACAGAAGCTTTGTTGATGTCGAGCGACAAGAGCACTCGTCTTACGGTCTTATACCTGAATGTTATCTTCTCGCATAGTGTAGGGAACCCTTTGAATTGACGACTCTTGGGCGACCATGGTGGAATTGGCAGCAAAGATCTTGACAAGGACTTCCGCCTTGGCCTTTGAGTCCGATACAATCGTTCTATCCTGACACGTAAGTGGTGGAAGGCTGCTGTGTGAGAGTTTCTTTTCAATCTGCTTGGCCAGCGTCCAGAAAGACTGACTGCCATTGCGCTGTGACCCTGGTTTAGGCACTTCCACTGTATGAGAGATGTATTCCTCCATTCCGACGTGGATAATTTTGGTTATTGAAGAACAGACAGCGCGTCAGTGAAACAGACATATCTCCAAGGAAAGGTAGAAAAGAAGTCTCTGAGCCCCTCCCAGTCGGCATGTCCGTAATGCCAAATTTTGCGGCCTGTGCGAGTTTCTGCAGCCACAGCGAGTTCTGCACTTCGTAATTTGGGAAGCTAAGATGGTTACTCGGTACGGACTCTGACATTTTTGTCTCCACCAAGAAAAGCATGGCGGGACGATTGGATTGCAAGTAGAGATGTATAGCATCAATGTTGCTGTTAATTCCGCAGATGTTCGCGAAAGAAATTTCGTCTGTTCCGAGAATGGAGTGAGTTTACATCCGGAATTCGTAGTACTCCAGGGATCCACCATCATTAATTTCTTTGTTTTGGAAGATAACCGCTGCATTGCTTAGGTGTGGAAACATGCGGACATTTATAAAACACCCTGGGAAAAGCTAGCGGGTGGTACCGTCTACCACCTTCTTTTTGCGTGTTAATGATATTAAATAGACCTAAAGTGGCCCGTTGGCGGACTTGTACCGTCACCCGGCAATCGGTACTGAGGTATTCCTTAACGCGTGTACAATCACTTGAACGGGAAGAAGTTGTATACTGGGTACAACAACTTCCGGAACAAGCATTTGCCACGGCCCCGCTCAGTAGGGGTTGGGGTTTTTTCAGACTTTCGTTGTCGATCTTAGATTTACGGCATAGTTGTTGTTTTCTCAGTTTTCGAACCGGTATTGATCGCATGTAAAAATGTTGAAAATCATTGGAAAAAACTATCTGTTAGATTACAAAAGCAAGTGTCAGACGTCTAGATGAGGGCGCGCGCCCCCCGCGCCCCCCTCTAAATCCGCCACTGAATGTATGTTTTTCGAATATCGTAGCGCATCGGTTCAGTCACTCACAAAAATACAAATGTCTGAATTTGCCACAAGAAAAAAGTTTAACCCTTTGTTTTTCGCATAAAAATAACATTCATCTTTCGAAATGGTTTGAGATCCATATCGGCGAGGTAAACTTTTGTATTTTGCTACGAGTGGCCCTTTAAACGAATCTTGTATGTTGTTCAATAAACTAGTAGTGGTGGCCGGAAAACAGATGTTTTGGGATAAATAATTAGAAATTCTGAAAAACTACTTGATCAATCGACCCCAATTTTGTTGTATTTATTGATGATTTTAAGTATCTGCGTGACACTACCGTTCCATTACCAAGCGCCAAAATTTGCATAATATGATTAGACTACTTGTAAAAAAATATCACCCCGGAACTACAGTGCAGCACTGTCAAAATGACGTTTCGTAATGAAGTTCAAAAATGTTTTAATCGGTGGATTTAGCCACAAAATAATAAAAGCACATGCCTATGTATAGAAAAATGTTAGAAAAGTAAGACTGGCGGCTCTACGGTAAGATCGTTCCGAAAAAAGACGTGGGAGTATTTCAGAGATGTCTTAATTTGGAACAACTTCCTCGTCGTAAAATAATTGAATATGATACTTTTGAAAACGGTACTGGGAGGATTGTCTTGTAAGATGGGCTCTCGAGTTCAAAAAAGTAAAAACGAATCTGTAAATAGTATAACATTGTTGATTTGGAATGGTTCTATTGTATTTTATTTAACGAATAGAGAATAATTGTAGTGCTCTTATTGAGTCGGTTAAAAAAAAGTATCGCCTCTGCTGAATTTGTGCATCAGAGTTGATGTAATGTCACTGTTTTTATCTGCCAAATAAGAATCATCCTCAAAGATTTAACGATAATCGCATTATAAGTATTATTTCTGCACTCTCTAAACTGTTAGAACGAATAGTATACAGACTAATGTTGGAATATACGAATAAATCTTATACTTTCGGCTTTAGAAGCGTTCAAAGCACAACCTTAATAGACGTTTGCGATGATTGTTTATATTATTTGATTTTGTTCCTTAGATTGCTTGCTGTCATATAATTGCCTTTCCTAATTATTTTTTTTCTTTTTGTATTTAAGGTTGTCTTAACATTAAGTCTATAATTATAGATTTTAAAAATTCATGCGCATTCATCTATTGTAATTATTGTAATTATATTGTAGACCTGGTGGGAAAAGAAAAGCAGTACTTAAGCTGATTTCTTGTCAGGATAAATAAATTATTATCATATTTGATTATGTATATCTGGCTGGTATCTTAAGCCTCCTTTGTTATAATCCGTTAAATTCGAATTCTATACTAAAATTAATACAACCAAAAAATCCTCACCTTCCAAATATCTTTTGATCTCCTCTATAAGTGTTGTTACTGTCATCTAATCTTATTTCAGCAAAAAGCTTGTCCTATTATTTTCCACCAAACTAGAACAACTAGTAGCAAATATATTTAAAATAGCAAGAAAAATAGTACCACTCGTACTTTTATGGAACATAAACATCCAACTTACAAATACGGTTTTGTAAGTTGTGGAATATGGAGTAGGACCGTGTTTGAAACATACATGAAACACAATATCTCGTATTAGTAAATTCAGTTGCAACTATTACACCTCACTTTTTATCGAAATGGTGAAAAATATCAAAAGATATAGTGCATATTTTGCATATTGTAGAGATTATAGGTATCCTAGTATTCAGTTCCTGTCACGGTTATTGACTCGTACTAATACTGCGTAGTAAGACCATGAAGATTTCAATATCTAAAATTATTTTTTGTTAGTAAAAATGGTCATCAAGGTGAGATAAGCGAAAAATTACCTTGAAAAATGAGTCTATGGACATAGTAAAAAAATTTCCAACGTAAGTTTTCATAACAACTTGAGATCTCGTCATGAAATAGATCAAGTTCTTTCTGAATTTAGTTGAAGTATTCATCCATCTGCAGTGATAGGCTGAACTTAACAGCTCATTGCTCTGTAAGAAAGAAAACATCATTAAATTACTGCATAAAGAAAGTGATGCTAGGCTTTACATATCAACAGTTATACCTATTTACCTTTACAATGACTTCAT